GTTTTGTTTTATCAATAATGTTAGTTCTGCATTGAACTTCTCTCCTGCTCTTTCATGTAACCGTTGTTCGTGAACTTCCAATGACACTTGTAATTCATTCATCTTCAACAAATCGAGATATTTTGCCTCTTTGATAGTAACTAAAATTATATCGAATCTTGCATCAAGGGTTATTAACACCTTGTTTACCATGGTTTGTTCCTTGAAGCTTTTACCACATGATTTCATCAAGTTTGTAATCGACAACAATCTTGAAAAATATTCTTGGATGGTTTCTTGCATCCCTATCTGCAACAACTCATATTGACAACACAAGGTTTGAAGTAACACCATCTTCAACCTTTTTACTTCTATGTAACACTGCATTAGTATGTCTCAAGCTTTTTTCGTAGTGTTTACTAATGAGATCTTCTAAAAAAAAATTTCATCGATACACTAATAAATGTAAAACAAAACTTTATAATCATATTTATTCACATTACGAAACATAGCACGTTGTACCTTGGTGAGATTTTTCGATAACCCATCATATCCATTCAAGATTATATCCAAACTTCTTAGAACCCAAAGACAATCTTCATCTTCACACACCATTTATCATAACTATTTAAATTATTGCTATCGAGTACTAATATGTTGTCATGTAACTCAATTCCTGTCATTGTTATTCGATTTTCTTTCTTTTTCTTCTCAAATCTTGAAGCTCTTGATACCATTATTAGCGAAAAGGAGTTTAAACAATTATAGATAGAAATAGAGAAAAAATGTATAAAAGTAATCAATGTATTCACAAAAGACACAAGTTCATTACACTTATTAATAAATACTACAGAGACACAATATTTATACCTGAAACTGAAAGTTAATTAGAATTAACCTAATAGAAACAATAATATAATTGTTGAATTATTATTTAACAGTATCCACGTGGATTTATTCAAATCAATTATATATAAATATTTACAACACTTATATCTTAACAAGTATAACAAATTAAACAAGTTTCTACTGTCATCTACTTTTGGAAACTCTATTTATCCAAACACTAAAGATTAATTTGTGTAAATCAAGCACTAGTAGTTTCCATTTTTTTAAATCTTTATGGATTTAGATTATTAGTAAAATTGAATATAACATCAAATTTACTAATTTAACATTTGTATTATATTTCATTATAGGACTAGGAGAAACAAGAGTCACGCGTCTCGTAAACTTCTATAAAATTGTGTTTTTGTATTTTTCACTTAAATGATAAATTAGTCACTCAAACAAAAATCATATTATGAGTTAAAGTTTCATTACGGAAGATTCAAATTCAAATGACAATCTTTCACTTTAACAAAGAGACTCTAATGAAAATAGGACCAACATGACAACATTTTCAATCAAATGATAAGATTGTCGTTCAAGTGAAAAATGTCATCCTTTAAATGACTTCTTTTCAGTTAATCAAATTTTATCCATGAGGAACTGGAGTTTCTAGAACAACATCGTCGATATTCAATTCATGATAAGATATTTAAAAGTTTGAAATTATATGACATGCTTATTTATTTGTATAATCTTTCCTATGTAAGTGTTAAATTCATGATTTAATAAATGAGTGATAATATGAGAATGATGATATGTTATAGGTATGATATGTTAAGGTTGCGAGATGACATAAAATAGTAATTATCAGAGGTGATATTATTTATTGAGTTATTTAATAATAGTTATGAAAAAAAAAATTACTATTGAAAATTACTATATATAAGTATTCAGTTACGTATCATATGAATGATATATTTAAACTTTTATTAATGCTTTAAATTGCATAGACAAATATATCAATATGTGAAAAGTTGATGAATATTCTTATTGATATATCTAGTGTGACTTAAAATCATTATAACTAGAGAATGATGGTAAAAGTTACCACGCCAAATGTGTGTTCAAGGAAAAAATAAAATTGTATTTCAAAATTTCATTCTAAGTACACTTAGAAATTTTTATATGTGTTGAAGCAGGAACAAAAAGTACTAACAGATATTAGTAGTAACAACCAATAGATTGAGTGTGACTTTTGATGGGACGATACAGTGAATAAGTTGGAATTCTAAGATGTGATGATATATTTATTTTTTATTTTAAATTGTGAGAGAAGGTTTGAAATTAATATTCATCTATTTTATTTTAATTACTATTATTTTTAATATTTTTAATATTTGACTAAATCTTTTATTAATATGTTAAGATATGTTTTAGGAACTTCTTTATAGATTAGTGAACATTTTGGTTATATGTTTTTTTTTTTCTATTCTTCCTTTTAAATATTCATGCTTGGTCACTATATATATAAATTATTACTACATGAGAAAAGAAAAACACACTGCAACATTAAAAGTTATTTTTTGTTTTAAAATATTTATTCTACTAAATATTTTAAAACAATATTGTAAAACATATTGATGTATCTTAAAAAAGGAATGCACTGAAAAATTGTAAGAATAATTTTTTCTCTAAGAGAAATACTTAACATTCTTCCATTTAAACTATTTTATATTTAATTTGTTTTTTATATTTATTGATTCATCTTGATTTAGTCTTTCAATCACAAATTATTTTTAACAAATATATGTTTCTATGTTAAAAAATTCATAAATCCTTGATATATATAGTATAGTCGTAGGAGATATAAATTGTCAGCATAATTTTAATTTATTCAAGCTTTGGTTATATTATGTTTGGGGACAAAAATTAAATCTTATGTGTGTAGTTTAAGGATTTATATTTTTAATTTTGTAGTACTGGGATTATCTTGTAATGTTGTTTACGGGGATGTTTATCAAAGTTTAAAATAAGTATTACTAGAAATAATTTTTTTATTAAATTTTGTTATTGACGTATTAAATAGTTTAAAGAAAAAAATCACCGATTAATTCTTGCTTACGAATAAAAAAATAAATAGATGAAGACAATATTTTTTTACGAGAAAAGAGAAGTAAGTTTCATTAAACAATTTTTTTAAATAAAATATTATACATTATCAATAATTCAATTAATTATTTTTCATAAAAATATAATTTAATTTTGTCATGAAAAAGCCAAAACAAATTCATTTTTAGATAAAAATATTTATTTTTTTATAAAAAATTAATTAATTTATATTAATTATTATTATTCATAAAATAAAGTATAAGTTATAAAATAATAAATTATTTAAAATTCCTTATATTTTTTATTTTATAATAAAATTAGATATGAGTTGTTTAATAATATATGACACACTAGAATTTACACTTTACATTTGTTAATGTAAAGTAACTCATAAATGGTTGTGCATATTAATGTTAACATAATCTATTTTGCATTAACTTTCCTATCACTTTTAGATCAATCAAACCTCTGTATAATTCAAAACTAGAAATTGAATCCATAATCACATATTTAAAAGAAAAAAAAAGACGTGATTATGTTACCTATACAAATCATGATGATTTAACACATGCACTAATTTTTACGCATGAAAAAATAAGTTAGGTCTGACTGATCCGATCCGTCAGTTCACCGTAATATGGTGGGCAGGTTAGTACTTTCAGTTCGTTTTGACTCATCCCGTCAAGCCTGTCAACTCGCGGGACGGGACGGACCAGCCCACAACCTGTTTTATTAATAATTTTTTTCATTGGATACAATACAAAAAGTCAGAAAGTCAATATATAATATAAAGATTTATGAAAAGAGAATTCTAAAAGTCACAATATCTCATAAAAAGAATTTATAAAATTTCAAGTATCTTACTATTAAAAGAATTAAAAAATTTGTACTATTACATGCATCTATTTATTATTATATAAATTTTATCTTAATTTAATTGTTATAATATATAATTTATTAAAATAATATATCAATTTTTATTATTATTTATATATATATATATATATATTTTTTTTTTGAATTATTAACCATGCTAATTTTATTATTAAATTTATTAAAAGATTTAATTTAAAAATAATAAAATAAAATAAAATAAAAAATATAACGTATGGACCAAAACGGTAGTAGTTTCATGTTCATAAATATATGCTAGTTTCCCACAATTAAAAAAACAAACACAAAACTCCAACAAGGAACTACTCAAATTTAAACCCGTTTTCAAAGGGGAAATAGAAAAAAAAATTATAGTGTGTCCAAAATGAATGTCTTTACATAGCTTTGTTTTCATAAAACAATAATTATTTTTATTTTAAAACTCTAAAAATCGTAACTTTAGAACAAGTTCATTCAAAGACTAATATTGCAAGGCCAAAACTTTAACATGAATAAAATCAAACATAAAACCAAAAACTAACGGTCTAGTTGTCCAAAATAGTGAGAAGCACCAACCTTTTGGTCCATATCATTAAATAGAAAATTAAATCAACACTTCCAACTTTGAAGGATGGGTAACTTCCCTTAAAGAGAATCACTTGGTACAGTTGAGATTAATCCAACACCTTACACTGATGTAACTGGACAAAGGGCACGCCTTTACCAAGTTTAAACTTGGATGAAAATTTGAAAAAAAAAAAAAAAAAAGTCTTTTTTAACGGGCAACACCACAAAGGGTCCCACCCCAAATGTTAGGAAGTTCAAACTTAGGACATTATAGTAATAGTAATTTGAATTTTCTCAAAAATTTCTCTCTCTCAACACAACTTTGAACTCTGACAGCTCTGAACTGTCCCATGGTGTTGGCATTGGCAACTCTCTCACTTCACACACACACCTTACTTTCTTTCTTAATTCCTACCACCACACTTGATCAAGCCTTTTAAGACTAAAGTGGGAGAGAAACATAGAGATAGCAAAAAAAAATAAAGCAAGTGTTGGATTAAATAGGTAATACACCATTGCATTACATAGATACATTAATACAATACATAACACTTTTTCTTTCTCTCTTCTTCCCATTCAGTGATTCTTCATTTCCCATATTGATTCATCACTTTGTAGTAGAAACAGAAGAAGCTGAAGACATGTCTGGTCACTGGGGGATTCTTGTTTCAGATCCATGGCTTCAGAATCAGTTTACACAAGTGGAACTTCGCAGCTTAAAATCCCACGTAAGTTCATCTTGGTTAAGGTTTTAAATTGTGGTCAGGTTGCAGTTTTGTCACAGTTTTTGATATTTCAGAGAATTGTAGACAAGTATGACAGATGTGAATACCAAAAATCTTAAAGTCGTGGCCAAAATCGCGTTCACCAACCGTGTTTTGAAACCTTGATCTTGGTTGAAATCCCATTGTGGGGTGTGCAAGAAAAATATTTGAATCTCATTTTTTGGTTGGAAATATTGGATTTTTGATGTTGTTGTCTTGATTGGGCTTCTGGGTCATGTGATGATCAGTGTGTGTGTTTGTGTAGTTCATGAGCATGAGGAGGGAGAGTGGGAGGCTCGTGATTGCGGATTTGGCTTCCAAGATGTCAAGGCTGAAGGTGGTGGGAGAGAATCTGAGTGAGGAAGAGAGAGCTTCTTGTGTGAAGGATTTGTATCAAAACACCGAGGAGGAGGTTGAATTTGAATTGTTTCTTAAGGTGAGTTTTGTTTTGTCATCTTGATTTGTTAATTATCTTTTGAGGGTGATGGATCTTTTGGCCTTTTTTTGAATTCTGTGTAAACACTATGCATCGCCTTTTTGATTGTTACCAATCTTAAATCTATTCCATATCATTGAAATGGTAAGAAAGAAAGAAAACCTTTCTGAAACTGATGTTTTCTGTTGCTTTAGAGCCCCGATGATAATCGCAGATCAGCTGATTCATTTGGAAGATTTTTCTTTATTTTAAGTACAATAAAAAATAATAGAATGAGGAGTAAATAGGAAAGTATGCATGTTTTTTATTTTCCTTGTTTGAATCCTTCATTTGTAGAATGTTTGTTTGACAATTCAAACATCAATTGCAAGAATACAAAATTAAAAATTAAAAAAATTCTTCCCTAACACAGTTTGGTATTGATATAAATCTAATAATCCAAAGACACTTTCTTTTTTATTAATTTTTTTCACCAATTTCCCTTTTTTCTTCCTTCATTTTGCATTAGAGTTTCCAATTTTACTGGCTGCATTTCATGTAAATGTGTAACGTTACCATTTTGTGGAGTACATAAATTGAATAAGTTTAGAGCTGGTTCATCTCATAGATTAGAAAAACATTAGAAGCATACTACTGGAACAATTTCAGTTAGTGTGATGAATTCAAATTTTGATCCAAGAGATTCCTGGATAATGATGGCATGATGACAGGTATACTTGAAACTCCAAACTTTTGCAAATTCTAGAACTGGAAGTAGTCCAAAGAACTCCTCAGCATTCCTCAAGGCAGCTACAACCACATTGCTTCACACAATAAGTGAATCTGAGAAAGCATCATATGTAGCACACATAAATCACTATCTTGCAAAGGATGAGTTCCTTAAGAAGTATCTTCCTATTGACCCTTCAACCAATGAGCTCTTTGAAATTGCAAAAGATGGTGTTCTTCTTTGGTACTGCACATATTCTCACTTGCTTTACTATTTTAACTGTTCATGGAAATTTTGTTGTGAACATAGTTACATGTTGTTGCAGCAAGCTTATCAATGTGGCAGTTCCAGGGACCATTGATGAACGAGCGATCAATACAAAAAGAATACTCAATCCATGGGAAAGGAATGAAAATCACACACTTTGCCTCAACTCTGCTAAAGCAATTGGATGTACAGTGGTCAACATTGGCACTCAGGACTTCATTGAAGGAAGGGTATGCTTGTATGCCTTTTAGTTTTAACCCTTAAAAGCAGCATTATTGTGGCTGTGTGTGTACACTGCAGAACCATAAAATTTTAGTTTAAATTTGATTAATAAATGAAATCCTTTCCTTGGAAAGCTATAAAATAGGATTTTAATGATTCCAAACACAGTCAATGTATCTTTATGATATGCTACCCTTTTTTTTACAGTCAAAGCCTTTCTATTTTGTTTTATTTTTTTTAAATGTTACACACAAAAGGGACATTGGGATGATTACTAAAAATATTTTGCTATATTGGACTCAGGAAGTTTCTGCATTCTTATATTTAATCTCATTAGATATACATCTTCTTTACTAGCATAATCTTTGTTTGCCTTAGATTCACACCAGTTCTAGATTCATGTTCTGCTAGTTTATAAGATATGAAGTTTTCATGAATCAATAGCTTAAAAATTTTGTTAAGAGACCCTTCTACCTAACCTTTGTTAAACTGGTAGATAATAATGGCGAATTTTGTGAGATTTTTGCCAACTGAAAAAATCATGCATTTGAAAAAAAAGGTCAAGATTTATCTGTTTGACAAATAAGATGATCAAGTTTTTTTTTTTTTTTTTTTTTTTTTTTTTAACTTTGTCACTTTTCTGCATTAGTATTTCATCAAGGTAGTGAATTTCTCAGTGAAGTGGTATCTAATTATTTTTTGTTCCCATTTCAGCGTCATCTGGTGCTTGGGGTGATTTCTCAGATTATTAAGGTAAACAATTATTGGTTGTACTTAATTTTATGATCTTTTTTGGTTTATGTGTGTAAAACATTTGCCATGTCCTACAAATAAAAAAATCTGGATTATTGTTATTTTGTTAAGCATTCTAATTTTTTATTAATGACTGCATAGTGCTTCTTGCATTTTTTGGTGCCTGCTTTTGACATTCCTAATGGTGGTGATAAATTAGATACAATTATTGGCGGACCTTGATCTGAAGAAAACTCCTCAGCTTCTTGAGTTGCTTGATGATAGTAAGGTAAGTACTTTCTTTCATTATCTTCTCATATTTTCAATATTTATTGTATATGCTGCCTTCATATTTTTCAAATGAACAGGATATGGAAGAGTTAATGAATCTACCACCAGAGAAGATCTTGTTAAGGTGGATGAATTTCCATTTGAAGAAAGCAGGGTACAAGAAGATTGTGACTAACTTCTCCTCTGATGTGAAGGTAACTGAGTTTTTCTTATTTTGGTGAAAAATACATGTTCTTATACTCTATCTTTTGCTTTGGACAATGAGCATCACTATTCATTCAGTACTAGCTCAATGCAAAAGTTATATTTTGTTCACTACCTTTGCAAATATAATTTGATTATTTGTTTTATGAAGTCGATGTGAACTTCTGTGGTTCTGACCTTGCAGGATGCTGAGGCTTATGCACACCTTCTAAATGTTCTTGCACCTGAATACACCAATCCCTCCACATTGGCAATTAAAAATCCCTTTGAAAGAGCAAAGTTAGTTCTAGAACATGCTGATAAGATGGGATGCAAAAGATACTTAACTGCAAGAGACATTGTGGAAGGATCTCCAAATCTTAATCTTGCCTTTGTTGCACATATTTTCCAGCACAGGTGAGAATAACCATTCTTCACAAATATTGTATTATTATACATTTTAAGCGTTTCATTTTTGGGTTGCACGTATTTATGTAACTGTTTGTCATTGTAGTCATCATCATTCTTCATCTATTACTTTGATTTTCATATCCACTTCTGACTATGAATTGACACCTATGTCTGCTTCCTCTCTGCACCTTAAGAGTTTCAAGAATAATTTTTCTTTTTGGGCTTTGAGAAATATATGTTATGGACTTTCACTCAATTTCCCTCTTGTAGGAATGGACTTTCAGCTCAGACAAAACAACAGATGTCTCTCCTTGAAACATTTCCAGATGATACTCAAGACTCTAGAGAAGAAAGAGCTTTTCGCCTTTGGATGAATAGCTTTGGAAATTCAGCATATATTAACAATGTCTTTGAGGATCTCCGAAACGGGTGGAATATCTTTTGCATTTTTACCACTTCTCTTATTTATGTTCTATATTATGCTTGAACTGGTTTTGTTAAAGGCTTTTGTGTAGATTTGAAACTACTAGTAAATCACAATCAATTGAATATTTTTTACTTATAATTTTTATTCACATAACAGTTCATGCATTAGTTAACTAGTGTAAGTTCTTTTAACTGCATTTGCTATGTTGAAATTATTCTGGCATGGAGAAAAGACAGTGTCATGCTTCTTGTTTTCAAGCTATGAAGCATCTATATTCCAAAAATGAGAAAGTATCTGAGTCATACCCATGTCTGATATGGAAATTCCTCATATATTTCCTTCACATACATATAAAAAAAGTGTCCAATTTCTTTGTTTAACTTTAACTTTTTCTAAGATACTTCTTGGATACTTCTAGATACGTATCTGAAAATTTATAATCTAAAAATGTTCATCCTCAACCTGTGAGAGGAATTGAGGTAACATACTCCACTGTTCATTCTTGGAAGAGAAACAAAATGGATACAAAAAAGGGGATGAATATTGGGTTTATGTGCATTCCATTTCAATATAGTTTGCCCTTTTTAAATTATTCTTTTGATCTTTAATCACCCATTGGGTTGGAATGATGTTGGTTGTTTACAGATGGGTTCTTCTTGAGACTCTTGACAAGGTGTCACCAGGGATTGTTAATTGGAAGATTGCCAACAAGCCTCCAATTAAGATGCCATTTAGAAAAGTAGAGAACTGCAATCAAGTTGTGAAAATAGGGAAACAGCTTAAATTTTCACTAGTAAATGTTGCTGGAAACGACATTGTGCAGGGAAATAAAAAGTTAATACTAGGTAGGTTGATTTCCAAATTATGTGTTGCTACCTACTTAATCACCTTGAAGTAAAGCCATTAATCAATTGTTCATACTGCATTCAATTCAATGATCACACATACAGAGTCTAAATCAACTCTATTTCATGTTATTTTTAGCTTATTTGTGGCAATTGATGCGATACAACATCCTACAACTTCTGAAGAACTTGAGATTTCATTCTCGTGGAAAAGAGATAACTGATGCTGATATTTTAGAATGGGCCAACAGCAAGGTTAGCAGCTCTGGAAGCCAAAGCAGAATGGACAGTTTTAAGGTATTGAAATGGTGGACCTTTAGTGCTTTTACTTGTGCATTTTTTTGGCCACACTTTCTTTGTTAATAATGTCAATTTTAATTTCCATGTGCTAAGGTTGAAAAATATATTTAACATGGATCAAACAACATACTTTGGGTAAGCTAGCTTGTGTATAAATAAATATGAAAACTTTGGGAAGATACTTTTTTACAGAAAATATTGAACTAGGGTAGCACAATGATCAACATGTACCCATGACATGTATTATCAAGACATTTTGTTAATGCTGAATGTGAAATTTTTGAATTTGATGCTTGCTTTGTGGATGAGCATAAAATTAGCACAAAAAAGAAAAAAACTTGAGAATGGGATTGGTAAAATTGCCAAAACCAGTTTTTTTAGCATATTGCAATAAACAAAAAATTTCTTAAGCTTGTGTTGTGATTTTATTTTTTGTAAAGAAAATTGAATCTGAACTTTCCTTAACCAGTTTTTGTAACCTTCGCAATTCTATAATCTAATCTCAACTTGCATAATATTGAAATCACATGATAGCCTAGCCAAGTGTTCAAAATAATTTTGTTTAACTGTTATATATCCTTTCTGATAAATATTCTGTGTATCTATGTTGCACTTTTCATTTTTTAATTGTTGCATGTGTTCATGGTTTGAATGGTTACAGAGTAAGTTCATTAACTAATTACTAAAATTTCAAATTTCAGGATAAAAGTTTATCAGATGGAATATTTTTCCTTGAGCTTCTAAGTTCAGTGCAGCCCAGAGCTGTAAATTGGGGTCTTGTAACAAAGGGAGTAACTGGTATGTTATGTTTTCTCTCTACTCTTTCAATAGTGTGTTTGTGCTTCTTTTATATGCATGACCTCTTAAAACATATTTATATAAACCTAAAATATATTCAAGCTTCTATCTTATTTTTTATCATTCCTTTTCTTTGTTTGAAAATGTGGTTTCACAAGTTAGATCCAAAGTTCCTGAAATCAAACTGCACGCTAGTTCAATTAATAAAGGGAATCCATGCCCGTTATATTTGAAATTGATTTTGGACTAACAGCTCCATTCTACCATGCATGAATGTGAAAAAGTCTTGAAATTTTTCTCAAGCTCAATTTATGATTGAGTAGCATGCACCCAGTTTTGAAAATTTTGATTGCCAGATAGAATAGTATGCTTTGGTTTTCTGCATATATTAAATCTATGTTAAACATGGAAGTTATCTGATCATGTCTGGCACATGGAATGAACTTCAAGTGTCTTCACTTTCAATTATCTTGGTTTACATTCCTATAACTTTTGCATTACATGTTCATGCAGACCAAGAGAAAAAGATGAATGCCACTTACATTATCAGTATTGCAAGAAAGCTTGGATGTTCTATATTTCTGCTTCCTGAAGATATCACTGAGGTAGTTAAAGTATATGATGTTTCATTATTGGATGACAACGTAAGAAAAACATTCACATCATCAATGTATTATTCTGAGTAATTCTTTTTATGATGTTACATAATTTCAGGTGAATCAAAAAATGATCCTGACACTAACAGCTAGTATAATGTCTTGGTGCCTGAAGCACCCTCATGAAGAAAGAACAGTGGGAACGTCAGATAATGAGAGTGTGAGTCAGTTGGAGACCACATCAAATTCAACACTAGATGACTCTGCCTCTGATTCATCAGTAGATGAGAGTGGGAACATGTAAATATATATGTTTGCCTTGAGTGAACGTTTTTTTTTATATATAATATATATTTGAACCACTCATTTTAGTTGATCAAAAGATCAATGTATGACACTAGGTAATTTAATGGTTTCAAAGCAAATTTTGTTCAATCAACTTTGTATATAGGTTTTTTTTTTCTTTTGCCAGCTTGGGACATCAGTTATGTTGAGTGTCATTTTAGTTCTACTTGTGAAAGGGAAAGGAAAAGAAAAAAACTGGGAATTCAGTAGTAACCCGATTGAACTAATTTTTTTTCTCTGAATTAATTATGCATATTTATAATGCATGTTACAAAAAATAATACTCCCAATGTAATGAATGTTTTGATAAGCAGATTTAGTAAAACCCTACCCCCTACTAAATTGTGTTTAAAAAGAATATATAATTTGAAAAGGTAGGTAGCAACAAATGGAATTTTGCAAAAGAGACATGATTTGAATAGTAGTTGAGAAATGCAAGATACAATTGTTTAATATATTAATTTAGATACACTTTTTTATTAGTTAAAATTTGCTCAAAATTATATATATGTTTATAAAAGTTAGTTAATAAATTTGTTATCCTATAATTTCAATAAATTTCAACTAATAAAAACTATAATTGAAAAAATATGTTGAAAGAGTATTTTTTTTTAAAGTGTTCAAACTCTTCTCTCAAAGCATATGATGTAACAAATATTGAGTTCATCCTACAATTGTTACTCACATTTGCGGGTAAGTACCGAATCGGGACGCAACGCAACCTATATATAGACGTCGCAAGAAAATCTTAAAACTCGTAGACATTTGTTCCACCCCATGTTGATTTATACAGACCGAATTGACAAGTTTGAAGTCAATATCAACTTTTGCTTTGGCTTAAATTTGTTCTGTCTGTCATAATTTTTTTTTTTAGTGATTCTTCAAAATAGTTGTTGTAGTAATGTTTATCCTTAATACACAGTCCACGTCTGTTAGCTTAACTGTCGATTTGGCATATAGATCAAAGTCATTGAAAATGATGAATTTGAGTGATTTGGCACAGATGAATAAAAGAAAAGTTGTAAAAAAGTGAGACCAGCACATTTAATTTCCATGCTCAGTTCCAAAAAAAGCATTGATTTTAATTGTAAAATAATTCATTATAGATAGTGAATTGTATTACTGAGTAAAGAGATGAGATTTTTATAATGATCGTAATCGATTATTAACATTCACAGTCGATTATATCAATTATAGATGATTCATATGGTTGTTATGTTTGTTTATTTATTACAATAAAAATAACTAAAAAATATATTAATTTTAATAAATAATAATAAAGAAAATTATTAATAACAAATAAAACTATTTTTCTTTCTTCTTGTTTTTTTTTTCCAGTCAAGTAACTTTATTCTATTAATTTATCACCACTTTCTTTTATTTTCTCTTCTCTTCCGATCCTTCTTTCGTACTCTCCTATTTTTTTTCCTCCCTATGAAATAGATTATAAAGGTTAATTACAAAAATAATAACAGATAGAAAAGACTACAAAAAATATATTTATAAACACTAAAATAAAAATGATATAAAATTATTATTGCAAAGAATATTAATTTAAACTCATAATTCAAATCACAGAATACTGCAAATAATGTCATCATCCTATGTTATGTAAAATATCCTCGAACCCTAACATGTTAATATTGTCTACAATTTCACCATTTAGCTTCTTTTGAAATTCTTTAATATTGTTAAAAAATAGTTAATATAGTTAGTTATTGCTACATGTAATAGTACGTGTTGGAATAGCTAAATCAGAACTAATGGTTCCTAGCAAGACCTTATCTAACGAGTTGCTGTATCAAATAATCGTTGCCTTTGATGGCCAAATCATTAATTAATTAATTACCAAGTAAATTTGAGCAAAAAGGTAGCAGAAAACACTCGAAAAACAAATAAATAATCATTATACTCAAATATCGGTACAAACACGGCCAACGGCTTCAGTGAGAAAGTTAACACCTGTACTTGAAAATCACATTACCTTAAGCATAATTGCTATCTTACTACAAGTTAAAGCCCATCATAAACCATTTTGGTCAATTTTAACACCAAGAATCCATTGAGCAAGATGAGCCAGATATGGCTCTGCCTGGGAGTTACTACTCAAGATTGATCCAAGACTCTGAAGCTCGGTATTAAACTCTTTCTCAAATTTGCTGCAATTGTTTATTTTGGTCAGAATGTTTGACATGAAATAATTAGTATAAAATAAATAGCACGTTTGCCAAATGTATAGTTTGGGGCTTACAGAACAGAATCAGTGACTGCCACATTTCTGGTGGTTGACTTCAAGACCTGACCAGATTTCCATTTGGCTTTATTCAAGGCAACTGAATCAACAACAGGTTCCTCTGAGTTACGTAATTCAATGGAAGACGATATAAGCCATTGGGTTGCTGCTGAATATTGTAGGCACATGGATTTCAGCCTCTCCACCTTCTGCAATTGAGAAACATCAATCATGAGTAGCCATGAACAATTCCAATTAACAAATAAAACATAAATAAAATAACCAAGAAAATGTATTTCCAGTTAAATTTATGAAAATTCACATTCATATAAATAGTAAACTTATTATAATAGTGCAGAGTGTGTATTATATACGTATCACCAGGTAAATAGCAAACCAAAAGTTTCATGTTATTACGCACCCATCATTTGCCATCTACTTTCCCATACATGCTTAGAGTAGTATATGGAGCTCAAAATATAGCTTGTACTTTTTTTTATATATAGCATAAAAAAAAAGAGGATTGGTTAGAAATTTTAACTTTTTGGTAAACAATGTATCCTAGAATTTCAAAATTGCAGCGTTATAAGATTACCAACATATTAACACAAAACCCCATTTATTTAGTTCTTATTAAAATTTAAAACTATCAATGTTTTTCATAATCTTGGTTCTCGTGCAACTTGTATTTAATTCAAGAATAAAAAAATAAAGGTTTAATAACCTGATCCAGACAATGAGCTGAAAAGCTTGTTCAGGGATCGGTTGAACCAGTTTAGTCATTCATTGAACCATATGTCAATATATTGATATTTTTTCTCCAACCCAAGCAAATTTTTACATTAATAATCATCCACGACATGTCTCTCCAATTTATGTGCTAACGATGTTCAGTTTTATTGTACTAACTACTTCAAACTTTAAAAACGTTGTTAGATAAAGGGAGTTTGGCATATGCACGAGTTGGTTTCGTCTCTCACGTTTCAGTTTTTTTTTTTTTCCATCATAACTTATTTAAGGCTTCCTCCCATCAAAATATGTTTCCGGTTATGCTGTTGGTTAAGCATGTTAGTTACACTGAATTTTAGTTGATTATGCTTTTGGTTATACATGCTAATTAAACTGAATTTTAGTTGATCTAGGCCTCCTCCCACGTTGGCCATCAAAATATGAATGTGTTTATGCTATTTATATACACGTGTAGTTTTCTGTTATGAAGCTTTTAGTTAAGATATTTCTTCCAGGGGAAAAGTGATAATTATATTTTTCTATCCAAAAAAATAATTGCATAACCATTAGAGTGAAAACAGAAGCTTATCTAAATACAGCACAACAGAAACTAACCTTCAGCAGCTCAGGTAAAAGAAGCAAACATTCTCTCAAACATTTATCAAGGAAAAAATCATGATATTGTATAACCTGTTTCAGAGAAAATGTCAGACTTTCTCAAGCATCCATCTACCCTGCTTAAAAAAAATAAACACAAAAAAGGACATACATATCCAAGTAATTTCTAACTATGTATAGTAATAACTTTGCATCAGATAGGAACCTTGGACGAACTACATCACAAAAGTTAGCCATTGTAGTTGGAGAGTTCAAAGCCTAATAAACACCGGACAAAAATCCCATAATTCCATTGCAAATGGATCCTAATATTCTGCGAAGCTCCGCAACCTAGCACCCACACAAGGATGGCTATGCACTAGACCTTTGGCTAGTCCTAGATCAACATTGCAATGCTCACTCGTTTACAGCTAAGTCATATGATGAAAACTCTAAGACCAATTGATAACAACCTTGAGAGAACCACGGCACAGAAGCTAGCCATTTATAATTGAAGAGCCCAAGCCCTTAAAAACCCTAGACCAAAATCCATATTTCTAATCTGGAACTGAATGCACATACCTCAATTTTATCCTAACTATCTTTGTACATGGACAAAAATACCCCTTGTACTTTCATTTTAATAAAAACATATAAAAGAATTATTATGCACATAACATGACGTATGCATCGATTTTGAAAATGTAAGACCACAATAACTTACCTCATCTATGCTATTTGCTGACTGAAGTCTGTTATACATCAGATGCCAATTTGGTTCAATAACCTAAAAAATAAGGTAAATAGTCATGAACCAATAAGCTAATTTATGAAAAGAAAGAAAAAGGCTAAACACCTATTCTTTTGCAATTTAAAACCATCATATAAATATAATTTGAACGCAAAAAATATAGATTAAAAAAATTCAATTTAAAAGCACACACTTATATTACATAATGGAGAAAGGTAAGTTTCTGTCAATTGAAAGATCTCCATAGTGTAATATAAAAGTCAAAGAAAAATAAAACTTGCCTCAAATGTCAGATAGTGCAAAAGACTATTAATAAATTTAAGCATACTACGGCAAAGAAGAGATGATCTAGAGATAGCAGTTCCACGCGTATTCAGAGCACGTACTCCCTACAATACAGACCCAAAATGCTGTGAATGAAGAAGAACACTACAGATCATGTAAAGTAAGGGAACTCGTAACATACTTGATGTACTTGCCATGCTCCACACAACTGACGGTCAACATGTTTACAGTGGAAAAGGAATCGAAAAATTAATTGGTACTTTGTGAGGGCTTTACGTGATAATACTATAGACAGTGGCCAGTGCACCTGAAATCAGAACCAAAAGTAGAAACATTAATGAAGCAAATGCAATGAAGACTCTATGAAACATATAAAGAAGAAAAGACCTTGTAACTTAGTGAAAATGTTTCAAGGCCAGTAATGCTAACAGTCTCCTCCAGATCACTGTCACCAGAACTTCTCTGACTAACTTCAAGATCCTTAATTGTTCCCAACCTTCTAAGCAGAGAAGATCTTTCCTGAAAGTGAAATGTTCACATCACGTGTGAAATCTGTGATTTATAGCTCTAAAAGAGTTTCTTACAAGCTAAATTAGTTACTTGCCACAACACAGGTTAAGCCTTCATGAAAAGGATCTGCTGCAGCTGCTGTAGTACGCAATGCAAGGTCTAGAAGAGACTAAACAGGAGAGAGGAAAAAGTAAAAGTAAATAATTAGAATCTAGGTCCCTTTCCAAATTAAAATAGGCAATTGCCAATTTAAATTTATCCGGAGAATAAAAACGGTATCGTAAGTTGAAGGATATTTTATTACTATACCTGCAGCTTCTCAACTGAGACTTCATCGGGCTTTTTAGCTAGTTCATCCCGTGCAATATCCATAAAATGTACTAAGAAATCACCCTGTGTGATCACAAATATTATATTATGAAACTAACTATAAGCCAAGAAAAAGGGTGTTTCTGAAGTAGTGTAAATTATTTTGGGAATTAATTTCTGCATTTCTTTGAGACGCATCTATACAATCACAAGGAAAACCCTAAAACAGCCTTTCCGGCCAGTCACTTTAGTACCTGAATTTTAAACGATTTTAATTTGGTTCATGATTTCATAGCCATTCATAAGGGACTAAACTAACCAACACATAAAATTTCAAGAGACTAATTTAAGGGTTTACTTAAACAATTACATTGCCTATGTAACTAAGTCAAATCAGCTGAACATTTTCTTTCAATGAGCAAATCATTCTGAAAGTTCAAAACTAAGACTTATCATCATCCCCATGACTTATTTTGCTTTCCATTGAAATTTTTTTCTTCCTATCAATCGATTTGCTACTTGCATAAAATCTCTATCTCTATTTATAGAGGAAATGCCTACATTAATTATCATGAAAATAATCATAAGGTCGTCTTCAATTTTTCCCTAAAGCCCTATTGATGTGAATAGGGAAACAAGATCAATTTAATATTCACTTAGAAGAAGGATATTGATGCTACACTAAAAGAGATGAGAAGATAAATGATAAGTCATGGAGATGATAATAAAATAAAAAGATTGGTTCATATAACTCAGATTATAAAACTTTCTCGAACAGAAAAACTAATGTTTCACTCAAATATCATATATATATATATATATATATATATATATATATATATATATATATATATATATATATATATATATATATATATATATATATATATATATATATATCTGCATTTAGAACTGTGTATATCATTCTGTTCCATTAAAAACTTATGCCTTCGAAGTAAAAAAAATAAAAATAGTCCAGTTATGCTTAGGTGCATTTCATTTGCTTTTTGTTTTCATTTCCAATTGATATTTCAGGTTAATAATTGCAAAAATGTCACTTTATTTTATATTTTCAAGAATTTGTGATAGAAAATAACTGAACAATTTAATTATTACTGAAAATATATCAACTAAAAATAAAATAAAAAAAAATAATATCCAGTTTTGTTTGGCCAGAATAGCTATTGTGCCCAAAATTAACAAAGATGATCATGATCATACCTGATCAAGAAGAAGGTAGTGTTTAATAGACCTCAGCCTTCCCGTTAGATCATACTAAACATAAACACACTGTACCATTAGAACTTGGATTTTTTAACAACTATTGCAAAAGTATTAGAATGTTAGATGAGAAACTTATTGCCTTACTTATATTAAAACTCACCTTTTCCTTAATGAGATTCAAGAGTTCACTGCTTGCAAAGTTATAAGCAGCCTTAATACATTCAAGATAATGATGATTTGATCCAAAACTCATAAGTTTTGAATTTTCTGATGGAGGGACCTAATGTAAAAATTAATTACATTAAAAAAAGGAATCAATCTTAAAATAATAAAATATTTTTATAAGCAACGTCTTAAGGTTGAGGAAAACAAAACAAATAAATTCTACAAAGTACAAACGTAACTGTGACAAACCTGAACATTGTGCCCACATTCTCTCATGACATTTAAATATTTTCCTGTTGTCAAAATTGTCCCAGCAATATTTGCAAGGAAACTGGGAATTCCATCTTTAAGGCTGTATCGTTGTCGCCAATACTTAGCTTCATAATCCTGAGTGAGACTCTCCTATAGAGAATATAAACTGAGACTGTATGAAAAACAAGTTTTGATACTTTGGGCAGTTATATTATGTGATAAATATTTTGATTTACCTTTTGAAGGGATTTGTCCTCTGCGATGAAAAATTCACCATAAGGATCATCTATTACACCTTCGTAAACCCACCTGCAGAATTTTCAATTCCCAAATTAACAAAAAAGTTAAATGCTATGTAGTGTCAACTAAAAAGCATAAGAACAAGAACTGACATGACTATGGTAAAATTTTACACAAAAGTGCTAAATTTTTTTATTGCACCAAAGGCCTTCTTTAAACATCTGTGTTGACCGATGTTCATTTGTCAACCAATCTAGAAAAAGAAAAAATCTACATCACATTGATATCATAAATTAGAAACTTAGGGTAATTGACCAATAGAACAAACAAAACAGAAAAAATTCATAGCAAAAGCACTCAAGCAGGGATTTATTGTGGGAAAACGAGCTTGAATGCATTGTTCACATAGTTTCAGATCCCTCAAACATCAGAAGTAACCATGCTAGCTGTATGGTTAATCAAGACAAACAATACATCACAAAGCAATTGAAAAGGAAGCTTCAACCTTGGATAATATGTCTGCATAGGTATAATCTGAACCCAATAGACAACGACAATGCTCACAAAAATTGAACATTATCTATGACTAGATATATGGTTTTTCTACAATATTAATGATAAGGCCAATGTTACTTAGATTAACTATTCTTCAATATTATACAACAAGCCATATGATCAAGTAAGGGGATGGGAAGGAAGATTGGACAATATGGCTAAGCCTTTCTGCAAGCATCAAGAGTATGTCTGGATGGGGGAATGGGAAGAAGAGAAGGTTCCTTTTTGTATGATAAAAGGGAATGGAAAGAGAAAGAAAATTATGATCTTCCACAGCTATGCCAAAACGTTCCGCTAATTTTGGGATACTTTAAACATCCAAATTCCAAACCAAAGAAAAGACAATAATTACTTAACCTCCACCCACCTCAATTTTCTTCCTTTCCATTTTCTTCCTTCAATACTTTCCATTCCCTTCTAACTTCTATACTTGCCCAAAAACTAAAAGGAGAGGTAAACATGGATTGTGTGTTTCCATGAAAGTTTGGTGCTAGACTAATTTGATCAATAAAAGGGGAATATATGTCTGAGTATGTGGCTGTAATTAAAGAATACATCTGACTAATACAAGTTTTAATTGAATCATTTGTGAAAAAGATATAGGTAAAATTATAAATACATAATCAGAATCCATAAATTGAATCAGAGAAAGCAAACTATATATTTGACAGTGAAGGATGAGGAGCAAGGAGACACCTTTCCAATATACTCATGTAAGCACTACTTGCACATTGTGTCATTTTCTCCAGCATCAACCTCACAGCATTGTCTCCAGCCATAGCCTTTGCCTAGATACAATAGAAGACATTGTGGAGAGAATTAAGTGATTAAATAACTTACTCATGAAACTAAATGAAGTGTTGACATACACAGAGCAATTGCAAGGGAAATTCATTACCTGGCTCTGCAGTAAGTTAAGAACAGCAGAACCAGAAATATTGTCAACTGAAGCCTTCTGTATGACAGTGGATAATGCCTGCATTGACCTCATCATAGGCTGAAAAATATCATTGCAAGATCCATTAGAAAGCATTTGACAAATATTTACATGAACTAAAGAGTTGAGACAAATCCATACCTGACAATAGAACCACAATCCTTGAAGGGAAAGTCTCCCAAGCCGAAATTGGTGTTCAAGCTGTGCCACCATAGCCTGGTAATCCTGGTAAAATAACCACATGAAGATAAAAGTAGGTTCTTATTCAAATAGTGGATTTTAGTCAAAGCAGTATGATTTTGCAGAACTGCAACAGAGGAAAGCATCAATATTGTTACTCTGTTATTAATTATTGTCAGTACAATCAGTTTAGCTTGCTCAATCTAGTCATTTCTAAGTCAGATGATCATCACAAAGCACCTGCAAGAAACTCCAACACAAAAAGGCAAAGAATACAGAACGACATGGCATTCAACTGAACTACCACAAATTATCACTTGTAGTTTCACCTTAAGCTAGCCTAGTCGGCCCATCAGCAATAGCAGTTTTACACTAAATTTTATGTCACCCACCAGCCCCTTTCATTTTTGAGTATTCACCCCACTCTTGCTTGTTAATTCATCCTACTATTTTTTGTTTTGTAATGAGGAACAGCCCAATACTTCACTTTGGTCAAGCTTAACTGACATTCATTTTGATTATGTTGAGATCCTCCATTGGGATGCAGACCTTGGCCCAATGTTATGTCTGAATATTGGACTTAAGACCTAACTCAACTCCACAAAATTAGCTTGTGAGATTAGGATTGCTCAAGCCTTGTAAGCATTAAATTGGTCATATCTACAGTAGATGTAAGATCTTAACATGCCCCCTCAAACAAATGAAGGTTGCCCAATGCCTAGGAAGTAGGAACTGACATCTAGAATGTAGGCAAATAATACAGGTTACCCAGTAACAAAGTCGAGGATAGGCTTTGGTAATCTTAGATTTTGGGCTTTTGTATTAACTCAATTGTAGACGACCAACTTATAAAGGAAGGACTAGCCAAGCCTTACAAAGACTACATTGGTCATACATTTCTAATTGATGTGGGACTTCAACAATAAGGTCGTTGCCTTGTGCCCTAAGGGTCATGGATACAAATTTAGGAAGCATCCTCAGCCCTTGAAGGAATAATGCTGACTGGCTGAGTGCATCTACCCTTTCCAAACCACACTAGATAGGAGCCTCATGCATTGGGTCACCTTTTTTGTAATCATTTGTTCAATTTCATATAAAAATTATTAAATGTATTCTATTGACCAGAATCAAAATGTCCAATGAAAATACTCAGACCTTATGGAAATAAAGAAACATTCAAAACATAGAGCAACAATTAGCTGTTCCCAGCTACATAAGTGAATACACATATAATGAAATAAGCAATCATTCCATGCAGAATGTAAGACCAACTGACTCACTATTCAGGAAAACCTACGAGAAGAAGAGCCCTCAGTGCAGCAGAAAAGGCATGATTAACTAGGCCATTCTGGAACTGAGACCTTGACTCCACAAACTGCTCAATCAACAGAAAGCTCTTGCAAAGAGGGAATATCCGTTTTGCCAATTCCTGCACAATAAAATCTGTCTCAGAAACAGTTAAATAATGTTCACCATTAACATTGTCATAATCTAAAGTCACACTGTTACAGAATAGTTCTATTATACATTCCCCTTTAATTTCCCACTGTGTGTCTTCATTGCATTTCCAAAACCACATTTGGGGGGCCAATTACAATCGCAAGCCAAACTTTTAAACAAAGGCGGAACTTCTAATCATAATTGATAGAAAAGGAGATATCCTTTTATTTAAACCTCTGAGAAAATCAAGATATAAATTTCGGTAAAAGAATGCATTATTTGAATTATAAGATAGATGCTTCACATTCCATAACAACAGTCTATGACATTAAAATAATAATATTTACAAATTATAAATATTGAAAGAAAATTCTAGGCGATTAATTAACCTTTCACCTGATGTGAAACAATAGGTTAGCATACTTTACATATTGAACGTCCTATAAATTTGTGTAAAAAGCACTTCTGTTTCAAATTTGGCTAGGTTTAAAGGTTGCAACTAAAATTTCCTATCATAACTATGGCAATAAAGCAAAATGTGGAGGTTTAACATCTCTAATGTTAAAATTGAAGCTCAAAACATATGGTCGCAAAAATTATGATAAATCTAACCTGCAGGGCCAAATCCATTGATGGGTCAACCAGGAAAGAAATGTCGTCATTCTTTCCGCGAACTCTTTTGATTAAGATGTACCGTCCTTCAATGCCAACCATGGCCGAGAGCACATCATCAATAACAATAAGCTCCTACATTTCAGGAGAAAACAAACACATAGTTGAAACTTCTAAAGCATAAAACCCTAAGCTGACAATAAATGCAGATATCAACAGTACTTCAAAATAGAAACCTCCACAAAGCAGAACACACATATACTATCACACACATGAATACACAACAACAACAACTAACAAGCCAAATTTTTGTTTCTCTTAACTTGTGCAGATAAACAGATTCAGTCACTCAGCACTTACCACACAAAAACTCATAACACAAAAAAAATCAAGTACATTGAAAGCTCCATCACTCGGCACTACAATGAATTCCTAGCTCCACGACATACACGCCTTATTGAAACAAAATAAATACAAAACAATTCCAGTTAAGTTAGTTTTTCATTTTAATTTTTTAATTTTCCCCTCACGGCACTACAATGAATTCCTAGCTCCACGACATACACGCCTTATTAAAACAAATACAAAAAAATCCCAGTGAAGTTAGTTTTTCATTTTCATTTTCATTTTCATTTTTAAAATTTTCGCCTCACATTAGGTCAAAATTGTCCACAACAAGAGCCATTTATTATAATTAAAATCGAGAAACATCGAAACAAACACATTTCAGCGAGAACGCTACAGCCGAAACCTTGACGGAAATTCGCAACGAATCACAAAAAATAAGAGAACACACACACAAAGTAAAGTAGTGGATCGAACAACGCTTCTCTCTAACATTGCGAATTCGAGTTAATTTATTTACGAAAATCAAAATGCGAGCAATTAAATAGCAGGAAAAGGTGAGGAGAAGAGAAATACTTGAACCGATGGAGAGTAGCAGCCTATCGGTTTTTCGAAGTTGGCTACGGTGGTTTGGTTCATTTCGGAAGAGAGTGCAGATCGGAGAAGATAGGAAGAGCGAAGAAAGGAGAGGAAAAAGAGTGGGGAAAGCGAGTTGTGGGACAGTGAGTGAAGTTTAGTTTAGGGATTCCTTTTATATATACGGGCTTCTTTCTTCCCTCCTGTGTTTTGAATTTTATATCTACGCTATACAGAGAAATGGAGTTCAAACATGAGTTTTATGGCATGTGTTTGAAAGATGAAAAGAAATGACAGCAACAGCATTTTACAATTAAATAAATAGAAAAAAGAAAAAAAAATGGAAATTAGTTTTTTTTTTTCACTTTCCACTTGAATTATTTATAAGAAAAAATATTAGTTATTTATATTCCTTTAGATAAATTATAATTGGGTTAAATAATTTTTAATTACCACCAAAATTAGGATATTTTAAAATTGATATCTTAAAAAAAAGTATTTTTAGACCTAATATTTAATAACTAGAATAATTATAGGATTACGGAATTAGCATAACCAAATTAACAAATTAATTAAATAATGGATATAAAAATGTTGAAAAAAAATTAGATATTAATTTAAAAAACAAAAAAATCAATTTAGAGATATAAAAACTTATAATTTAGTTATTTTTTAATTTATTAATTATAAATTTAGTTCAACTAATTTTAATAGCCTTACTTTATAAAGTTTATAACTTTTGTTCAATCTCTAATTTTATATATGCTTAATTTTATATTTTAATTAATTAAATTATTTCTTCAAGTATCTTAGACGAATATTTTAAATATAAGGTTCAATTACATTAAAGAAAAGAATAAACAAACGAAGGTAAAATTAAAATTTATACCATGATTATATATTTTTTAAAATATATTTCATAAACACTATGAATCAATTATTTTAAAATTATAATTATCATTTTAATTTATTTTTGTCTTTGTATTATTTTTTTATCCAAATAATATACAATTAAAATTATTATTATCATGACCATATATTGTTATATATAAATCATAGAGAATATCTATATGAGTTCTAACATCAATTTATTATGGGTTAGAGTTGGATTAATTTTTTTTAATTAATAAGTTATAAGAATTTGAGTCGATTATAATAAATTGACCGTAATTTATAAAATATTTTAAAATTATTATAATAATTTAATAAAATATTTATGCTGCACCATTGTCCCACAACATCTGCGGCACCATTATACCACCACATATGTCGTCATATCTTGGAATTTGTTGTGTACACCCTTACATCTACAACATCCATTGTTCTACTTGCTTCTGTTTGTTTCTACCACTTTCACTACATCATTGTGTAACATCCCTAAAATGTATATCATAGATTTATATAACTTACATAAACTAAGTTTTAAAAAAATACAGATGAGCTTCTCATTGGATATTTTCTACATATATTTTAAATATAATAGAATAGAACGTAAAATTAACAAAAACATCTAATATCATATCATCATTTATTTCATTAAGATTTAATATTTGCTCTTGTGTAAAATACATTATCATTACAGTTTAAAAAAGACATAAATAATACACAGGGTAATGTAATATTTCAAAATAAATATGTTAAATTTAAATTTATTCTAAAACTAAATTTTTATGTATTTTCACATATATGACCGCTACACAAATCTATTTTAGATTTAACACAATCATATCAATTCATATCACACAAACTCTAGACGAATTTTAAAAGATTGAATATTAAATTAAATTTAGAGATTTTGTATTTGTCATATTACCTTCCATAATTAGATATCTACAACATAAATACACAATTGGAACATATTTAGTCTTATGACAAAGTAAATCTCTATGAATTGCCATATGGAGATCTTTTTCATACTATGAACTAAGTTATAAAAACTTCTTTCAACTCTCATAATCTGATTCATTTATCTTTGTGATTTTAGTGATAAGTAAAGTCAAGATAATCTCATTCAGAATCAAAATTCAATATTTCTACACATTTCACCACATACTACCCCCCCCCCCACACACACTTCACCACATAGTACCCCTCAGGTATTCACAGTCACACACATTTCGATCAATTATGAATCACATCCTAAGTTTGACTTAGGTTCACATACAAAAATATATCTCAGTCAATTATGAATCACTTTCCTAGCTTAATTAAACATTAACATATATATCTTTGTATCAAAAACACATAAAAAATACCACATCATAGCATATATAGAATACATACATGGATATCTCATGATAGTTCTCACATTATAAAAAAAATATTTTTCTATACATATAATAAAACTAAATACACCTCATTTCATGTTCATAACATATATCTTCACATTCTAAATTATATACATATCATTTATCACACTTACAATCAAAATGTATTTTTTAATTTGACATCCACTTATTATTTTAACCATAGTTTTTTTGTAGATATCCTTTTTGACTAATTCTTATTTTATTATATTACTCATTTTAAGAACTTCAATTTTTTAGTATGGAATGTTAAAAATAGAGTTTAGAACTATTTTTTTATGATTCTTAGAAATTTATATAGAAAACTTATGAGGAATTTCGCTTGAGCAAAAATGTAACCAAAAGGGAACCTTGATATCTGTTGCATGTTTCGCTTCAACATTATCTATTATCTTTTGATATTCTATTACATTATTTATCTATAAAACATATTATATATAATCCAAATATTATTATCCTACCCTAATATTATCATCACAATAAAAAGTTAGATTCTACTCATAAAAAACTTTAATTAAAAAATTAAGTATATCATAATGTTTTTAACTTATTCAAGAACTATTTTGATCCGACATGCACCATAACCCCACATTCAAGCTCTTCAAATTTATATTTAAATATTTTAAAATGGACAAAAAGAAATTTACTTCATTTAAGATTTTATATAAATAATCTTCACTAAAAGCACTAAGAAGTACTTAAATATAAAAAAAAAATGGATGAAAAATTTGAATAAAAAACATAAAAAGAAAATATTATAATTTTATGAAAATAAAATTTTAATTAATAAAATTTTCTATTTTGTAAATTTTTTTATATAATATTATTTACATAATCACTAAAACTTCAAATTTTATTATCATTAAACCACTTCTACTTTTAATCTCTTAAATTGAATCCTTACCTGTAACATTTACTATATATATTTACTGTAATCATGATATATTAATAATTCAATTAATCTAATCCATGAATCAAGTTAGATAATAAAATATCTTATTCACCCTAGAATATAATTGAATTTGTCTATTATTAGGTCGGTCAATAAATTTACTTAGACATCCGTACACTATTTTTTAAGGATGATGAATGTTACGATATCTTAAAAATGAGTTTTTAATGTGAGTACCAAGGAAATGTTTGATGTGTCAATAATAAAGAACAAGTAATAATATATTGTGACGATGGATGATATGATTAATAATAAGAAAAATAAACTAGTAACAATAATATTAGTGAAGGAATTTCAAGGAAAATAATAGTTAACATGCAAATTAAATATGTAATATTTACTAATATTTTATCCGTAAAAAAAAAAAAAAAAAGAGGAAGAGGAATCGTGGTTTTATCTGTAAAAAGATTTTTTTATAGATAATAATTATAGTTTAAGTTCAGAATAAAAATGAAAAAATAAATAAGAAAGTAATAAAAACTCAATATAATAAATTAAAAAAATATTGGGAGAATTACATAGTAATTCCCGCAAAATAAGAGTTACAAGCTAATTTAAATAATAAAAATATTTATTATCAATTGTTTGTTTCTTTTTTATAAAATTCATATATCATTATTTTTATATTAAATACATTTTCTTTATTTAATGGTATGTATATTTTATAATATATAAAATAAATAATGAATTACAATTATAAAGGAAAAGAATATTAAATTCAATTTTTTTTTAATTCTAAGCTTCAAACAATTTAATTTAAGTTTATCAACTAATACAAAAAAATAATGCATCAACGACTATTTCTCTATTACACATTTTTAATAATATTTCTCACTGAAGAAATTTTAACATTTAAAAAATTAAATTTTTTTAATAATTTTTTTTTGTAAAAATAGTAACGATTATAATAATTAAAACATCTATTACTATAAATAATAAAACAAGGGCAGATCAAATTAATAAAATAATCACATTTATTTTTTAATTAGTAAGAAAATAACAAAATAACATATAGAAAATCATGAAAATTTTTAAAAATAATATTTAGACCACTGGATAAATTTCTATAAAGAAAGATTTTGCAGTGAAAGCAATGAATTTGAACAAGATAATGAAACATTCATATACTTTCAGTACTTTGTCCATATAGAATAACGCAAACTTTGAAATTCCAAGAACACAAGACTACATGTAATACTAGTCACATCACAGAAAAAAAAAAGAAAAAAAAAAAGACACAGATTATAAACTAGAAAAAGTTACTGCAAGTAGAACAACATAGCTCAAAATTCTCCACTTCACTTTTGTCATCTCGTAGACACACTTCACTGAAAAGAAAAGCAAAACTAATGAACCAAAAAATTCAAAAAATATCAAAATAGGAACATATATGCAAAATGGTATCTATGGTACTAGCATACCTTAAGTGCAGGTTGATGCAACTGCAGAACAGAGAAACTCATCATCCTCACTGAAAATCTGCAAGTTCTTGGACTCCATGAGGAACTCAACTGCCTCATCATTGAATTTCAGCACAAAAGCCAATCTGATGAGCTCAGAGAGTTCTCCAACATGATCATGTCTCTCGCACAAAACACCCTCTGATATGACTTCTGAGAAATATGTTGCATATTTTATAAAGCTACCAATTTCAGCTTTCCAGTTCATTTGAGTGAAAAACTTAGAACTTTTGCTCTCCCACCGAACCATTCTGTTATCCCTTTTGGTAAGGATATTCCCTGTTGATAGCGCCAAACTATAACTTACATCGATCGAATCCGTTGTCTCAAAGAAACTCAAATTGAGTAGACCTTGAACAGCTTCATGCCTCTTTTTTGGTTCAATTTTAAGGCTGGAACAAGCAAGAAAACCAAGAATAAGCTTAACCAGCACTTTCAAATTACATACATTACCAGCATCAATCTTCTTAAGTTGAACAACATTCAACAAAGAAGGATCTTCCGTGCATATACATTCAGATATATTCCGAGCACCAATTTTTCTGTACAAGTCAGACAATTTACTCCTAGATGATGGGGCCAAGTTCTGAGGATACCAGACAAAGACTTTTTCCATCTCAAAAAGCTTCTTCAGGTGAAGGTTGTCAGGAATGAAAATATCTTCCTTCTCAAGCAACACTATTTCATCGTTGCCTGAAGAGGCAGGGAGCTTCAATAAGGTGTCACATAGTTTGTTTCCAGTATTTGAAGTAAAACGTTCAACGCAAGATGTCCAGAACTTAGAGCAGTTGTCATATGACAACTGGTCCTCTGAACTCTCCCATTCATTCCAAAGGTTGATATAATCATCCACTGAGGGCTTGTTCCTGACTTCCATGGCAAACGAGAAAAAAGGGAGAATCTTCTTATCATAGAAATCTTCTAGAACATAAAATTTTGAGCCAAAAAGTTTATCATGATCATGTATCACACATTCTTCAGGATGCACCCACTCTCGCCTTTTTGGAATCCAAATTTTTCTGGCTGCTTTATCCCCAGGTTTCCAGTGTTGATCACTTAAGTACCTATAAACATGCAAAATGCTGTGATAATTAGAAAAAAAAAAAGGAACAACTTGACAAAAAAAAAAGATTAATTTCAAATAAGAGAGTATATTCATGGGAGAAAAGGAAGTACCTGTATATTTGCACAATGGAGTTATCAGCAGAGAGAGTATAAAGGTGCTTTGCAGCCAAATCACACCCATTCTCAAGGTCAGCAGTGACTCCTATTTCAATCAGTTCTTTCTTGTAAGATGAAATTTTGGAACCATAAAAATTCTCATCAATGAAAAGCCCATCAGTTGGCTTGAAATACAAATCCCACTTGGAATCAAACAACAAACACTTATCTGGACACGTATAACCATCATGTGTTTTCAACCAGTTTCTAGACAATCTTTTTCTTAAGTCATCATCAATGGGGAGCATAGTCCGTTTCATTTGAAGACGGATACATTCGAGCAATGAAAAAACACTTTCAGGAGCGATTGTGGAGGGATCAGAAGGAAAATTCAAACATTTAAGAACAAATTTCACCCCATCTTTCAATTCAGTAATAACACCAAATATCTTCAGCTCTTCTTTGTACTCATGAATTCCTTTACCATAGCAGTTGTCACTATCATCAATGAATGGAAGACAACTTATTGAAGAGATAGATTTCCATTCCACACTATCAAGAATGCAACGTGTTGGGCATCTATAACCACCAAGCCTGGTGGTAAGCAACCACTTCACATTACGTACGGTCGTTAAGAAATCAGAAGGAAAATTATATTGAGTTCCCTTCAGCAGCCTGACACATGAAAGAAATGATTTCGCATGCTGTTCGCTAAAGGAACTTTGAGATGCATTCAGTTTGAAGTGATCACCAAATTTTTTTATAGCCTCCTCAAAGTCAACCACCACCCCTATTTGCTTCAATTCACTTTTGTAATTGAAAATCTTCTCTCCATAAATTTCTTTATCTATCACAGGAATACCACTGAATACCTCCAAAATGCAGCCCCATACAGGATCATACAAAAAACATTCACCTGGAGTTTTGAAACCTATGTTAGTCTTCAAGCAGCTCTTTGACTTAATGGAATTCGTGAGTTCATTCGAGGCAGAGGAAAACCTTATGCATTCCAATAACAACAGAATTGTCTCAGCTTTCAAATTGCCAAAATCAAATGGTAATTTTAAATTATCAGTGACAACTTGATAGTTTCCACTAAGGACAATTATCACACCCAGCAACTTAAGCTCCTCTTTGAAATTATATATTTCCTCACCAAATTCAGTTTTATCAATAAATGGGATATCACTAACTTTTGATGCAATTTCCCATTCCTTATCATATAATACAGATCCCACAGGAGACCTAAGACCACGAGATGTCTTCAGCCAACTACCGTTTCGGACACTGTTGACAAATTTGTCTAAAGGAAGAAAGCTTTGCCTCTGACATTGAATGAATTTAAGAATCAAAATAACATGCTTCGAGCTTAAATTATAACATTTTGCTCGTCGCATTAACTCTTCTCCAATGAATTGAAAGGCTTCCTCGGAACTGAACATCACTCCAACAGTTTTCAATTCCTTCTCATACTCATGTATTCTACTCCCATAGAAGGCCTCATCAACGAGTGGAATGTCAACAAGATCAGAACAACTTTGCAGAATTGTTCCCAATGATGATCCAATTAAGAATGACTTCGAAGGTGGCATATATTCATTGACAGTAACTTTGAGCCAACTGCCTTTCTTAATGCTTATCAAGAATCTCTCCGGTATTCCACATGACATCTTATTCAGCTTCCGAACCCATTCGAGAAGTAAAAAGGCATTCTCTTTGGTAAGACGTCTATCTGCAGCAGAAAAACCAGCATTGGGAGGATACATATCTGGAATATCAAAATCACCCAAGTGATCAGTCAGGAAATTGATGAGCATCTTATTGTCTGTAAATTGGCCTGCAAAATTATATCGATTCAAGTACTCCTCTCCCAGCTCAACATAATTTTCATTTCTCCATGGATTAGGGTGAATAAAGTTTGCCCAATTGCTCACACTTGCTGGCAGAAGAATACCTTTTCTCGATTTATTTACAATGCCATTGTTGTCTACAAGAGGCATAGAACTACACAGTGCATCAACCTCGGACTTGGATATGAAACCATTTGAGAAAGAGTGAAAAAGGAAATTAGCATATATAATGACAAGCTTCGAGTTGTTTTTTATGGATCCGGAAAGATCTTTTGCCAAGGTGTACACATTAAAAGTAGTAAGACCGACTTCAATTTCTAGCCACTCCAACAAAGTATTTTTTTGGGGAAAAGACAAGATAGAATTTTGAGTAATTTCTGGCATAAAATAACGGTTGGGATGACAAGAAAATGCACGGTTCCAATTAATAAGCCAAGAACAAGGACAAGAATCACGAGGATTGGCTCGAACTAATCGAATGGAACCATTGATGCAATCATTAACACTGCAACGAGACAGACTACCATCAGAAGACACGTACTTTAATAAGGGAAAGTTCGGCATGTCTGAACAAGGAACAAACGATTCCCAATTTTTAGCAACAAAGAGCAAAAGCTTGAGATAGAGTCCTTCAGATACTCGACCCACAAGATTGGAACTCTGGATGCACTTTGCATACCAATCAGATTTGATTTGTTGCACCCCTAAATAATTAAGTAAGCCATTATACTGGCTTATATCAAGTGAAGAACTCATTATTTTCCTTCCATCTTGAGCAGATAGGTTATCATAGCGTATTCCTTCCGTCCGAGCATCAGTCAAAATATTCCGGAAATCAGGCAGCAGCCGTCCGACTTTAGGAGGTTTACAGAAGCACTTCTGATCCTTGTAAGTCTCAATGGGAATTATGTTTTCTTCAAGGAGTGTTGATTTGATCTTTTCCCTCACATAATTTAACTTTTCATATGGAGAATTATTGACTGGAATAAATTTGAACATGTGGGTCAAACTGGATACAGGAGCTTGATCTGATCCTAAGACAAGTGTTTTGAATGAATTGACAAAAGCTGATGGAACACAATCTAGTATTCCATGGTTCCACTTATCATCCATGAGAATTGTCTCCCTTGAGGAGGCAAGAATAAAATCAGCTTGAATGATGAAGGGAAAATTAGTGACCATCTCAGTAGGAAGAAAGGCATAAACACCAGGTGAGCTCATTCCCCTATTAAGCCTATCCTGATGTGGAAAGGCTAATGTAACAACCCACTCCTCCACATCTATTCTCCTTTCCACCACATTTTCTTTCCTCACAGGAAATTTTTGCTTCCACATATAGTAACTGCATTCCTTTTCAGCACCACCATTTTCCTGAGCCGATAGGCAGAGCGTATAGGACTCGGCATTCATGTTCTTCCTAGTCACTAGTTCAATCTCAGTTGAAATAGATATTGCACTCACAGTACTCTTCTTGGAACCCTCATTATGTTCTCTGACAGAAATATTTCTGATCTTTGAAAGAAACAAGAGAATTTCTGGATGAAAGTTTGAGAGCTGTTGTTTAACTGCACTGATCTTATCCGGCTTCAGAGGTAAGACAAGTATTGTAGAAGGAAGGGATTCAGCTGCAGCATTATATATCTTCTGTATATCTTGAAGAATTGGCTTCTCCTCAACCCATTCAGGAACTATATACCCAAGGCCACATTGTGGACAAGGCTTCTCATTGAAGCAAATCTGATATCCATTGCTAAAAATATAAGGCTGTGTAGTAACCAAAAACACACTCTTGAACCCAATTCCTGAAAGTCAATCATGGAAAATTATGTCATGCACAATTAATTCATAAATCTTTTGTACCATGTTAATCATAATATTTGATTAGCATAATCTTTCAAATAAATGGTAAAATGAGGAAATTTGGGTTGTAAGACAAATAATTTGCACAACAAAAACAGTACTTTTCACCAATATTTTGTTGCTGGCAGAAAAATATCACTATAACTTTGCTGAGAGATTCCTCTTACAGGAATGCTCTAATAACTAGCCTTTGTTTTGATTCAAGAGTATTGTTTTGTGCATATATGAACATTTTATTTTGGTATTGGAACACTATTCTAATCATTTAACTAACTTCAACTAAGACAAGAACACTCTTCACAAAATTACACTTTCTTTATAAGAGACAATAATGATAAATAATGTACCTTTTTCACCAACATAACCACTGTTCCTTTTGCCTTTCTTAGTGGAACGTCCAACACTGCATACAGATTCAATGTTTTTGGGGGAGAAACCATCTTCATTGTTGAAAATTAGTAGTGTAGCTGGAGCACCAGTAGCTGTAATGTCCTTAGAAGTTATGATGAACTCTAGTGAAGGCTTCCTTCCATTAGAGTACACATTATCTTCTGCATTCTGATAAAAGCAGCAATAAATTGATGATTGTATATTATACATTACAGGTTCATTATAAACTTCGACCATTACTAATTATAAATATTCTCATGAAGGAAACAAGTTGAACTAAAAAATAATATTGAATATTATATACATTATAGTTTCATTATGAGCTAATAATAATATATTAATTTTAATGTTATATTACGTTACATGGTCAAATTTCATGATATAAAATTTAGAAGGGTGATAGAATATATTAAGTAAATACTTAATTGCACTCTAAACAGTAGTATAGTACACAAAGCTAAGAGTAAAAGTAGGTCTAAACTAAATCACCATTACATATTCAGTGGAACAATGAATAAAAAATATAAACAAATAAATAGAACTCCTAACACAACAATCATCATCTAAAATGAAAAAAAAAAAAGTAATGAAATTTAGAACTGTTGGTAAGTGGGTACCTGAATAAGTTCCATGAGAAAGTGAACATCTTTGGTATAAATTTCAACGGAGAGATTTTTTACAGCTTGATGCAAATCTTCAATCAAAGGGTTTGGATCCTTGCCAATGGAGAATTTGTTGCTTCGTATTTCTTCAATGTGTTCTTTCGGTGTTCTCATTTTTTTCCTTATGAGTATATGAACAATTCTCAAAATCTCAATAAGAATGAAGAAAAGGATGAGACAGAGTGAATATATATACTAAGAAATAGTGATTAAGTTGAGCATATGAAAAGACGAAGTTGGTTTACTTGATTATGATTAAAAGTTCTTAATAAGTTGTGCATATGAAAAGACGAAGTTGGTTTACTTCATTATGATTAAAAGTTCTTAATAAAAATAGTTAAAAATTAAAGTTCCTAGAACCATTTGAATTTCCTAGACCTTTGATATTACTTCATTATTAGTATTATGATTAGGTATAGAACCTTTGAATTTCCTACCTTTTCACTTTCCAACGGGGGAAATTAAAATAGAGAGCGAAGAAGTCTTCACTTCTCAAATGCAACCATTGTTGAAATGGTTTTGAAAATTTTCAATATTTCTAAATGTTAAAACAATTGAAAAACTACAACTAAAAATTTGAATATATTTGCACAAAATAAAGGCTTGTGAAACTAATATTTCATTTTTAATTTCTTGTTTACCTCGTTCAATGACAAAAAAACATCGTATGAATGCTTGGGTGGTGCCAATGTCATATGGAAAGTTGTCATTTGATGGGTACAAAGTTATGGCAGAAATTGTAAGTGGTTTTGGGAAGAGTAATAGTTTGATGGAAGCTTAAAACTAACGATGATAGTTTTAACACTTACTTCTTCTCCATCAAAATTTATTAGGTTACATATAAATAATTATTAATTTTCATTATTTTTAATAAATTTATTATTTTTTTTATTGATATTCTTAATATTCTCTCCATCTTAATAACTAGTTATCTTCTCTTTATAATAAGTATTATTCAAAAGATAAGAGTATAATTGATAAAAAATAATTAATACAATATTAAACCCTACTCATATATTTAGAAACATTTTTTTTACAAAACATAATATATTTTGAAATAGAAAAAATATTTATAATAAAACATAAAAAATTATTTATTTTTATTTTTAAACTTGGATCTATTTTTGAAAACATTTGATATAATTGTGAAGCAAACATATTTATAATTTCATTCTAATTTCTTTAAAAAGGAAAACAAAATATGATTAAAGTAAACTTCCCACGCTTTATATTTTCTAAGCACGTTTCAATAATATAAAATAATTTTGGTAGTAAAAGAACACTCTTTTGAAAACTGGAACCCGTCGCCTTAATTGATTTAACTGAAAATTAGATTAAAAATTGATGTGTTAGTTTTAAATAATCGAATTTTAATTAAATTGAGATAAAATCCAAAAATAAGACATTAATAAAATCGATTAAGTTTTTAGACAGAATAGATTTTGATAAAAAAAATATGATCAATTTTTTTATAATATATTTTAAATTGTTTTTTAATTTATATTGATTTAATCAATTTTAAATAATAATTATTTTATTGATTTTTAAGGATAAATTCAACAGTTCTAATAAGATTTTATTATTAAACGAAAATTCGATAAGAGGGTTCAATTCACTTGTATCCATAAGGAATGAAACTCGCAAATTCGTTAATTATATATTTTGATCTTATTTTGACAATTATTCATATGATAATTTCTAATATATTTTATATTTATAATTTTTATTATAATTTATAACGAACATAACACTGTTTTTTATTTATTCAATTACATTTTAATTTTAAAAATATTGGTTTGGTAAAAAAAAAATCTTTGAGTAAGAACATTAAAGAAATAAATTTGTAAAGATGGAAAAAATTGATGTCATGGGTAGTGGAAATTGGAACTCTTTTCTGACCATTTCGCTTCCATTTTACATGGTGACGCCACCTACACTCTACCTTCCTCCAAGTTTCTTTGCATTACAATGAAAATTGCCTGGGATGAAGAACAATTCATAGTTTTAAAAATGAAATAAAAGAAATATGTGAATGATAAAAAATATAATAAAACATTGAATATAAGCATAGACTTTATAGGAAAATGACAAAAGAAAGAAGTAGATGCTAAAAGAATATAGACTCAAGAAAAATACTTGTATTTTTTTTTTAATTTGAACAATTAACAAGTTAAATATTAATTTAATGATAATATTATGGAGACATGTGATAATTTTAATATTTTAAAATTTTAACACTAAATTGGTGAACACATAACTTACGATTCAATTAAATTTAACAAAATAATATTTTTATAATATAATAAATTTATTAATAATAATATTTTTTATAAAAGAAAGAAAAATAATAGTTATTATAATAATATATTATAAATATAAGATGAATAATTATTAAAATAAGATAAAAATATAATAAAATAATAATGATTAAAATTGATATAATTAATATAAAATAAAATAAAATATATTACATCTTTTATAAAAAATTATATTAAAAAATATAATTTAATTATTTAAAAGTAACATAACAATTTTTAAATTAATTTTCAATTAGAATGGTAAACAGTGCATTATTTAAAGATTTTCAGAAGGATACAACATTTTTATCCATTAAATCAATTAAATTAAATCATTTTTATTTCAATCTAAATTATATAACTTATTCTGTTTGAATTCCATTTTTTTTCTTACATAGAGTTATAAAATTGAAAATCTATAATACCATTGGTCCCTAAATTTCAATGTCATAAACCCTAATGAAAGATGAAGAGGTAGACCCAATCCTCTTTTCACGTTCTCAAATTTTTAATCTCTCTCACATCTTCTATTATGTTTTCTTAATGTTAATTTTATAATTTTATCTTCATATATTATTATGGACTTAATTGTTTAAGATTGTCTAAGAGTTTGATCTAACACGAGTGTTGATTAGAATATTATCAAATTTATAATAAATATTATTAAAAAAATGAAACCCAAATTTATAGTAACTTTATAAAATTGGTTCTTATTTTATTTTGAAACTAATTGTATGTTCACCTCAACACCTAATTTAATAGTTTAATATGCTTAGGAAAAGAAAAAAAATTGTGTACTTTTACCATTTCATCTCTAAGTATAATCATATCTTAATATATACAAACTTTCATATATAAAATAGAAAAAAATAAGAATATCTTACGGAAAATAATAATATGAAAGTGTATTAATAATTACACCGAAGTATATTTCATCATATTCCGGTATTAATTTTCTAATAAATATCCTAAGAAACTCTTAAATGTATAATAAACCATAATGTTTTCATAGACATAAAAAATTAAACCTAAATTATTGTTTTGATTTTTGTAATAATTTTTTTACATGAAATATGTAAATAACTTTTATAGTATACACTTTTTTATTATTTTTATTTCTATAAAAAGATAATCTATTTTTACTTATGTCATATAAATTTTGAGTAGTGTTCGTCTTTCTATGTTTAAATAATTCTTAAGTGATAAAATGTTATATTATTAAAACACATTAAATATTACATTTTTATTGTTATGTGTTTTAATGATATAATATTTTATTTGTCACTTTGTTATTCAATGATAAGATATTGATGACAAAAATAAAAACAATAAAAAGTTTATATAATATAAATAAAGAGATATTTTTTTCAACAAATAAGACAAAAAAAATTAAATACAATTATAAGTATATTAATGTTAAAAATTTATAACTTTCTTTTATAATAAATATCTAAATTGGTGACTTGAAATGAAATTGATGTTGTATATAAACTTGTTTAGATTTAAGAATAGGTCACGTCAACAAGCCATGCCAAAACTTAAAATGCCATGTATGATATGCAATCAATATTTTCAAATGAGATAATTTTTTTTTAAGATTTAGATATAATTGTAATTTTTTTCTCATATATTTTAAAATTTGTAAAATATCTTCTATTTTGTTCTTTAAATCTTAATTATTTATCATTTGATTCCTTACTTTCTTTTAATGTAATTTTCATATTTTTAATTATCCATAAATTTGTTCAATTATGTTTACTTTTTCATTATTTTTCATATAACACAGTAAAATTTGAAGGAAATACACAATACTTGTAATTTAATAAAAAAAACAGATAAGTAAAAGTAAAGATATCGAAGTTATTTAAAAAATTAAAAACCAAATTTATAAATAATTAAAAATTAAAGAACTAAAATTGAAAAAAACAAAATATAATATCAAAATTACAAATTTTATAAAATATAGGAAAGAAAATAATAGCTATAGCGAAGTTATATTATTAAAGTTCAAAAGTTTTCAAATTTTGTCTCCTCCCCTAATTGTATTTTTAAGCAAAATCTTAATTTTAGAGACCAAAAAATCATGATTTACTTGTTTTAAATCTAATTTACCATCCAAAAAAGTGCGTCAATGGTTTTGGAATTGTCGTTAACGTTGGAAGGGAGAAATTTCCACGGCATTGTTGCTAATAAAGAGATGTGGGACGTATGTGTGAGTCTGATTGGTGATTGGTCTTACTTTTAGTCCAAGTTGACTAAGTCCAGCATGTGCATTCAACAAAGACAAAGACTTTCACCAGTATCATAGTGATTTCCTTAGTCCTTGATTTGATTTCTATTTATCATCAACATGCCTAACTAAATGCAAGGACCAGGATCATTCTTACCATGACTTCCCCTTTGCTTCCCTTTCTCTGCCTCTCAATGATTCTGTTACCCCTTCAACTCATCAGTGTTGTAGCCCAAACCAAAACCAAGTTAGCTATTGGTGATTCTCATACTGCAGGAAAAAGCACAACCCCATGGTTGGTTTCATCACCTTCTGGTGTCTTTGCCTTTGGTTTCCTCCCACTTGAGAACTCACCTGATGATTTCATACTATGCATTTGGTATGCCAATATTCAAAACAAGACCGTAGTTTGGTTTGCCAATAGGGAAAAGCCTGCACCAAAGGACTCAAAAGTGGAGCTTACTGCTGATGATGGGTTGGTGCTCACTGCCCCCAGTGGTGACCAGTTATGGAAGACTGGAACCAGTGTTAGAGTTTCAAGTGGTGTCTTTAATGACACTGGCAACTTTGTCCTTCAGGATGGTGGCTCCAACAGTGTTTGGGAGAGTTTCAAGGATTATAGAGACACCTTGCTGCCCTATCAGACTCTGGAAAAGGGTCAAAAGCTTTCTTCTAAGCTTAGGGGGAATGATTTCAACAGTGGCAGGTTTGAGCTATTTTTCCAAAACGATGGTAATCTTGTGATGCACTCTATAAATTTACCATCTGGATATTCTAATGAAAACTACAATGAAAGTGGAACCATTGAGTCCAACACTGCTAGTGCTGGGATTCGATTGGTGTTTGATAGATCAGGAGACCTATATATTTTGAGAGCGAACAATGAAAAGTATATCCTGTCAGACGGGAGTATTGGACCTTCTACCACTCAATTTTACCTTAGAGCAACTCTTGATTTTGATGGAGTGTTCACACTCTATCAGCATCCAAAGGATTCTTCTGGCAGTGGAGGTTGGACCTCAGTGAGGTCTTATCCAGAAAATATCTGTAAGAGCCATCTTGCTGCTGCAAGTAGTGGTGTTTGCGGATATAATAGCATATGCAAATTAGGAACTGATAAGAGACCAACTTGTCAGTGTCCAAAATGGTACTCGTTGGTTGACCCTGATGATCCCTATGGTAGCTGCAAACCCGATTTTGTACAAGAATGTGTTGAAGATGAAGATAGCAACATAAAGGATCTATATGATTATGAGGTGTTGATCGATACTGATTGGCCTCTTTCAGATTATGTGCTTCAAAAACCCTTTAATGAAGACCAATGCAAACAATCTTGTATGGAAGATTGTATGTGTTCTGTTGCCATTTTCAGGCTAGGCGACAGCTGCTGGAAGAAGAAGTTGCCACTTTCAAATGGTAGAGTTGATCCCACACTTAATGGTGCAAAGGCCTTCATGAAAGTGAGGAAGGACAACTTCTCCTTGATTGGTCCTCCAATAATTGTGAAGAAGAATAGTAGGAACACTTTGATTTTGGTTGGATCGGTGCTTTTGGGTAGTTCTGCTTTTCTCAATCTCATATTGGTTGTAGCAATCTGCTTGAGCACTTCCTATGTTTTTCAGTACAAGAAGAGGCTTAGAAGACTTGGCAAAAATGACTTGGAAACCAACTTGCGTTGCTTTACTTATGAGGAACTTGAAGAAGCCACTGATGGCTTTGACAAAGTGCTAGGGAAGGGAGCTTTTGGCATTGTGTATGAAGGAGTCGTCAACATGGGTTCCATTACTCGTGTGGCGGTGAAAAGGTTGAACACTTTTCTCTTGGAAGAGGTTCAGAAGGAATTCAAGAATGAACTGAATGTCATTGGCTCAACACACCACAAGAACTTGGTTCGTTTACTTGGATTTTGTGAGACCGAATCAGAAAGGTTACTTGTATATGAGTATATGAGCAATGGCACTTTAGCAAAACTTCTTTTTGATGGGGAGAAACCAAGTTGGCAACTTAGGCTACAAATTGCTTCTGGGGTTGCTAGAGGACTTCTATATTTGCATGAAGAGTGCAGCACACAGATCATCCATTGTGACATAAAGCCTCAGAACATACTCCTTGATGATTACTGTACTGCAAGAATTTCAGACTTTGGATTGGCCAAGATTTTGAACATGAATCAGAGCAGAACCAACACTGTCATAAGGGGAACAAAAGGGTATGTTGCACTTGAATGGTTCAAAAACATGCCAATCACCGCAAAAGTGGATGTCTATAGTTATGGGGTGCTGTTGCTTGAGTTAGTTTCATGCAGAAAAAGTGTAGAATTTGAGATAGAAGATGAAGCCAAAGCAATCCTAACTGAATGGGCTTATGATTGCTACTCTGAAGGTGCTCTGCATGCGTTGGTTGAGGGTGATAAAGAGGCATTGGATGACATGAAGACAGTGGAGAATTTGGTGCTGATTGCCATTTGGTGTGTGCAAGAGGATCCTGGTCTTAGACCAACCATGAGAACTGTGACACAGATGCTTGAAGGTGTTGTTGAAGTGGAAGTGCCACCTTGCCCTTCACAAGTTACTATTCAATATTCCCTAAACTAGTCAATTGGTCCTAATTTGAAACTGTAAAATTTGCATATATGCATATTTATCTATTTGAAACTAAATGATCCTTCAGCATTAACATCTAGCATTTTGGGTTTTCAGATCAATTGAATCTTCTATATGAACTAGTTTGATAAGTCATTTGTTACCTTTTGGAGTGATGAAGTGTAAGTAACTTAAATAAGCCATCTAAGCAAAAGAAATAAAGCTGAGACTTTTACATATTATACTCACTATTCCATACTCAGATCTTACAAATTTATAAGGCTTTCAAATAGCAGTGCATATCAGAATCACACTCAGATCTTACAAGCTTGGCATCCAATAAGGAGAATGAGGGGGAAAGAACCTTGATTAATTTAATCTCTAAAGAATTAAAAGAAAATTTTCATACCATCCAAATAAAGCATCAATATTTGATTAATTTAATCTATACAAAATAAGTTTTTATTAGAAATATTAAATAAATATTTTTTTTTATTTTAACAGTTTTTTTATTAGAAGAATTTATTTTTCCTTAATTTTTCTAAAAAAAAAAATTTGAACGTAAAAAAAAAAATCATATTACGTAACACAATTTCAATTCTAAAAAAATTATATCAAAATTTTAATAAATAACACGACTTCTCCACATGTAAAATGTAATTTAATTAACTTTTGTAATTTAAAAAAAATCACCAATTTTAATAAAAATAGAAAAACATTAACCCTTTGATAAAAAATCCTTTTTATTTTTTTAATTTTGGTATGATCAGAAAAGATAAAAGACATTAAACATATATATATATATATATATATAATAATAATAATAATAATAATAATAATAATAATAATAATAATAATAATAATAATAATAATAATAATAATACCAACATGGGAACGGAAATAGATTTTTAATTATACTTTTGCAGAGTTTTTTTTTAAAATAAAATAGAGAATCGAGTGTAATTTTATCTAAATTTGTTATTATAATATAATTACACATTATTTCATTTTAAATTTCTCCTTTCCTTGGGTATTACCTGAATCCTTATAAATTATTGAATAAAAATTAAACTCTTATAATTGTATGAATTTTTATTTACAAAGCAGAATATAAACTTACTTTCCTGTTTTAGAAAAAAAAATATCATTATCACTTTCCTCAAAATTAAATAAAGATAAATAATACTTAAAAAAATGTGAAACAAAAATATGTTTTGGGCCTTTTAAGCCCATCTCCGGGGCCCAAAATCTCCGTGAAACAGAGTAAAACCCTAGCTCATCTCATGCGCTCTTTCCGAATGTTGAAGCTCTAAGCAGAGGCATCGTTCCTTCCTTCGTTCTTTGGGTCGCAGGAAGAGACTGCACAATGAAGGTTTCAATTCCAGACCCTGATAATGGCCCAATCTCATCGCTTCCGTTTCTCGTTCCTTTGTTTCTCAATTTTCGCATATTTTATTTTATTTTTTATCTTTTTCGCAGTTCAACGTTGCAAATCCGACTACTGGTTGCCAGAAGAAGCTCGAGATCGATGACGACCAGAAGCTGTAAATTTTCCACTTTTAACTTTTTATTTTGGGTTTTCAAATGTTAGGTGTTGTGTTTCTCCGTGCTAAAAGCTGCGTTTCGATGGTAGTTTGAGTTAGATAGTTGTTAAGTTCACTTACACGAAGCGTTTTAGTTAGCTGGGGTAGCTTTTATATATCAATGCTTTATATAAGTGTTTCTACGCTTGAGGTTTTTCCTTTTTGTCTAGCTGTGGGTACTGTTGAATGTTAAATTTTAGAATCATTAGAAAAGTGTTCGAGTGGAAGTGGGTTTAGTGGGACATGCTTGAACTGGGTTTCCTTTCAGCTGATGACTTTGATTCATTCGCAAAGAAAAGGAAGGATAGACTTAAATGTGGTTTCTATCGTGCTTTCGATGCCGTTTGCCTAATAGAATTAGAGTTTCACCACGGTTAGGTGGGTAATAGATGTTTGCATTAAATGTCAGTATATGTTGTTTAGGTGAAAAACTTATTCTAATAGGAGAACAGTACTGGAAGCACACGAGGAACTGCATCCTAGTTTTGTCCGGAATCTGAAAAGGAAACACATTGAATATCAGGAATAGGAAATGGTGATGCATGCATCCATTTCCTTGGACCTCACCAGTGTTGTTAAATCGGTGGTACCATGTCAGATTGTTTACCAACTGCCATAGGCAATTTATAAAGGGAGACCTGTTATCGAAGTTGCCAAAGGCCACAATGACGTGTTTCTAAAAAAGAATTTTGGCCTTCGGCTGTTTTCTGCCATCTGACATTGATAACACTTGAGCCATGTTGGCTTTGCTTCATGCCACTGTCCTCATCCCCAACTCTGATTATTGGAAATACCATGTTAGCTTCCTCTGGCATGCATGCTGCTTGCATTGTTGCTTTTAAATTTCATCTTTTGCCAGTATTACCTTTTGAACAAAAGCGATGGACGGACTGCCTTAATTTTTTTCCTGTTTTTTAGTACTGGTCAATTGTTTATGTTATACAACCTAGGTGCTTTTGTTTCCGGTGTGCGACTTGTTTTCCTGTTATAAATGTGCTTTCTGAAATTGCAGGCGAGCATTTTGGGACAAGAGAATTTCACAGGAGGTTAGCGGAGATGCTCTGGGCGAGGTATGTCTGTTGATTGAAACCTTCGTATACCGGTTTCAATATCTTCTAAGGAGCTTCAATAATTAATTGATATGTTCTACCTTACAATCTGCTACTGACAGGAGTTTAAAGGATATGTGTTCAAAATCACTGGTGGCTGTGACAAACAAGGGTTCCCAATGAAGCAGGGAGTGCTAACACCTGGTCGTGTCCGCCTTTTGCTCCACAGAGGTAGAACAATAATGAAGCTTTAGTTTTTTTTGGGGGGTTGATTTACCAGATTATAATATGCCACCCTTCTGTGTAAATTTTCTAGTTTTCATCCATAACATGTGCACTGCATTTGCGTAAGAATTTGTTATATGATTCTTTAAGCTTTAAATTATGTAATAAATGAAACTTTTCCTGGAAGATAAAATTCTCTTTATGCCATGGTTTATGCTTTTTGAAGATGATTCAGAGGGATATTAATTATCTTTGCATTGATTGTGTGAGCAGGAACTCCTTGCTTCCGTGGGTATGGAAGGCGCAATGGAGAGCGTAGGAGGAAGTCCGTTCGTGGGTGCATTGTCAGCCCAGATCTCTCTGTTCTGAACTTGGTAATTGTGAAAAAGGGAGAAAATGACTTACCAGGGCTGACTGATGTTGAAAAGCCAAGAATGAGAGGTCCAAAGAGAGCATCCAAGATTAGGAAGCTGTTCAACCTTTCTAAGGAAGATGATGTGAGGAAGTATGTCAATACATACCGTCGAACCTTCACAACAAAATCTGGTAATGTTCCTTGTGCATGTAAATTTGTTGTTAGGTTTTTTCATTTGATGTAGACAATCAGCCATTTGATAGAGAAAGCAAAAAATGGATGTTTAATGAGAATATGAGTAACTTTAACCCATGGGTAATATTGTGGTAAAATGTAATCATATTGTGAATCCAAAGAATCATGATCAATAATAAATGTAGCATATATATATATATATATATATATATATATATATATATGTAAATATTATATGCATGTATGCTTGAGATTTTTATATTTTTAACACACATTAGCTTATATTTTGTAATCATGTAGCTTACATAGTTAAATATAAGGTTCAAATCAAAGATACATATCTTAACAGTCATAACGGACAATAAATAAAGAGTGGCTGTTGCTACACAAATTCATCAAACAGTAGTTGGTGGTCTGCTTTACAATTAAACAATATAGGCTCCATATAAAAGATGCTGTTGCTGTGTAAAGATTGTAGCAGTGGTGCTATGAGGATTTCTCACATGCAGCTATTCGATGTTGTGGAGTTTGAGGTGGGTTTTGTCTGGTCGGCTAGGTTTACTTTTTCATGTTGCGACCATGGTGGTAACAGCTGAGTGTGAAGATGATATTAACAGAGATATCAACTCCTTTAATTTGACGAGAAGAAATAAATGGGTCTTGGGTCATTTGACTAACCCTAAACCAACCCCAAAGTCCTTGAAACCCAACCTTGGTCCAAATTTAGGAGACCACAAATACCTGATCCACATGCCCCCAAAAAACCCAAGCAACTCATTTTTTTCCCAAACAAGCACAATGGAAGCAGCAACCTGACCAATTTACAACTCCCTTGTCAACCACTCAATAATGCTTGTCACCAGTGACGATGACATGTAATGTGGTTTTTGTATCTTGCATTAACAAAAACGTACATCAACTCTTTTGGTGTATTGGAAGTTATTACTGTCTTGTTAAACGATAATGATGTTTGCTTGTCTTCATTCAGTGGGAAACAACAGTTTGACTGATAATGCTGATAAACAGCCTCAAACTATGTCTGGTGTTCCCTCTCCAACATCCAATTAAAATTAAATGGGTGCATATTATGAATTTTAGTCTCAATAATGGACTTCTGATTGCAGGGAAAAAGGTGAGTAAAGCTCCAAAGATTCAACGACTTGTCACTCCATTGACCCTGCAAAGAAAGCGTGCCAGGATTGCTGATAAGAAGAAGAGAATTGCGAAGGCAAAATCAGAGGCAGCCGAGTATCAGAAACTTCTTGCCTCCAGATTGAAGGAGCAGAGGGAACGCCGCAGTGAGAGTTTGGCAAAGAGGAGGTCCAAGCTTTCCAGTGTTTCTAAGCAGCCTACTGCAGCATAGGCCAGCTGCTCTCACAGATATGGTGCAGTTTAACTTCATCATAGTTTTGGTAGTGTCACTTCATGATGGCTGCTTTATGCTAAACATTTATGGTTTTTCTATTTAAACACAGTTGAGTATATTCAATGTTTCTTCTTGGTGATGATGTATTTGAGATGGACCTAATTGAAGAATTTTGCCTGCTTGAATTTTGTATCCTTTTGAGCATGTACTAGCATGTTGGTATTTGTGAACTTGAATATATTTTACTCTTCATTTTATCCATCTATTCAGTGATTCATGTGAACACAACCATTTGTTTCGGTTATTGTACTGGGAAAACTTACCGCTAAGATTTTGTTGAGATTGTGTTGGGTCTACTTACCTGTTCCTGCACCATGAATATATCTTGCTGCACCACCAAACAATGTAAATCCGTATCTGTCCTAGGACTTTATGAGTGGTGACTCTAGAATAAACATTCTGGATGAGCCATTCTGGATTGCTCGTGGTTACAAGGTGGGTTACAAGGCCGGAATCCGAAAAGACCCGAAGAAAGGCCCTTGGGTGTTTTCTTGTTTTAACCTTAGAAGAAAAGGTAGTGATTGATAGAAGAAAAATATTGTTTTTCGGGAATTTGGGACCGGAAATGTATTTCTTTGACTTATTATTTTTAAATAATGTTTTATAAGGGTTGGAATCTAATCTAGCTTTTCTAAATTGAAACAACAATTTTATTGAAAAATACTCTTACTCCTTAAATAATTGATTAAAGATTTTAGTAAATACATTTCCTCTTTGATTTATCCAAATTTATGTAAATATTCTTAACAATGTTTTTGTAATCAAATAGAGTTTAATTACTTTTAAAAATTATTATTTCGAGAATGGTCTTTGAATATGAAAAAGAATTACATGCACTAGATGCTTCTTAAGTGGTATAAAATAGATTAGTAATAGACTAAGTTGTACCTTTAGTCTTCTACGTTTTGGAATCTATTCAATTTCAATGTGTTTTAAAGTAAAAATTAGTCCCTAAAGGTTCTAAATATAGCTAAATTTGTTTTTTAAGTAATGAACTTAACTTCGGCCCTCTAGAAACGTTGATGAGTTTATTTATTTAACTAATTATTGCTGTTGAGGTTTGCTTTATTGAATTAGTTGCACTTTGCCCGTTGTGAAATTAAAGTATTACAAATGATTTAATATAAGTTATAACTAAAAAAATATTTTAACATAATTTTTATTTAAATTATATTAAATAATCATTTGCAAAGCTAAGTTATTGTATGACATATAAAACTATATATGTAATTATTTATAATATACACAAACTATAGTACTAGCACTCGTACTATATCATCCATTCCCATTAATATTTGTTGGTGCATATAGAGTCCTAGACCCATCCCTAAATAATGGAGCGACCATTACCCATTAATATTTGTTGGTACATAGAGTCCTAGACCCATCACTAAATAAAGGAGCGACCACTACCTTATCTATAACTTGGATATCCAAAATGGATTAAACAAAATAAGATAAAATATGGATTTTTTTATTATTATTATAATTATACAATTCATAGTTATATCTTTTTAAAATTAACATTTTATATATGTTCATTATTTAAAAAAAACTAGTATAGAATAAATAGTTATATGTTTATTTAATTATAATATATACAAATTTTTTCATACAATATTAATACTAAAATTTTATTAAAACATGATTGGACCCTATTGCCATTTCACACAAATTTTAATTAAATTATTTGCAATTGACTATTGGAATCAAAAGATTAAAAAATGACTCAAAGGAATTAAATAAAGTATGAATAGGTATAAAAATCAGATGAATATAAAATCATAACTAAGGGATCTCCCTTTATAATCAAAAGCGATGTGGAACCATCACTTTTTCATCATTCATATCCCCATATGCATAGTCCAGGGCTTGAACCTAATCTTAAGGGACCCTTAAAATTATAGATAATGGTATATCTACAACCATTTTTTCATGTACTTAATAATTTTCTTCAAATAATATAATAATAAAGATACACTGTAAATAACTTATTATCATTATTATATTAAATTGTCTAACTATTATATATGTATAAAATAAATTCAAACAATAATTTTTTCAAAAAAATATGTAACTGAATATTTTATGGTAAAAATATAAAATAAAATATGTTATTATATAAGCATTTTGCAGTTATTTATCATGTAAACAAAAACTTTCCACCTTTGATGTAATCTAAGATCAATCAAAATAAATAATATATTTAAAATTATAGAAATCAACAATCAATTTTTAAATTTAGAGACAAAAACAGGTTATTTAAAGTTTGAAAAAAAAATCTAAACCTTATTAAATATTATATATATTTTTTATTATAATAGAATATAATTTTTAATGAAATTACTATTATAATAATATTATTTTAATAATAAGAATTAAATATTTATTTTGTACTTTCATTAATTATTTTCTAAGTATTCTAATATTTTAAATCATATTAGAGTATAAAAAGTAAATAATAATAATTAAAAATAATTTTCTAATTTTTTTTTGAATTGATGAAATGATCCCTCCTTTATGTGTATAACTTATCTATTATTATTATGATTTGATGATGAGAATATGCATGACATACCTTTTTGTGCTATTTTGCATGTATAAGACAAATAAGATTTAACCTCTTTGGAAATATCTGCATTTACGTGAAGAATATTTATGGCATGTGCCTCCACACCCTGTCATATCATATAAGATCATGTAAATCGAAAATTTAGGTTTTATGTAACACAAAAATTTCTTCATAAAATAAAAATAAAAATAATATATATATATATATATATATATATATATATTCTTAATTTTCTTAAAATTATTTTTCATTTTTACATTTGAAAATATCTTTTTGATTTTGTTATACTTATATTTAACATTGAATGATGACTTTTTATTGTCACGCATTTCAGAGTGATTATTAAATTCATAATGTCACAAAGTTAAGAAGTTATTAAATTTATAGAATATATAATTTTATTTTTTTAATATTTAAATTTAATATTTATTAATAATATGTAGTCATAAAATTGATGAAAAAACAATTAACTATTTTTATTTTAAGTTTGAAAACTAATTAATTAATTTGTAATATATCAAACTAAAACCAACTTTTCTTACTAAAATACATATTTAACAAAAAAATCCCAATCTTTAGATAAAAAAATATATATTTTTTTAAATCTAACAATTAATAGAGAATTTTTTATGGGCATTTGGTTTACACGTTAAAGTAATAAGAATGACAAATTAAAAATAGTACAAGGACCACTACTGAATAGCCACCTGTAATAAAAGTAATAAATTTTTAACTAGTTATAATTAAAAAAAACTATTAATTATGTTAAAAAAAAATACCACATCAAGATGTATTAGATAAATTTGTTTTCAAATTAAAATACTAATACTAATAATAATAATAATAATAATAATAATAATAATAATAATAATAATAATAATAATAATAATAATAATAATAATAATAATAATAATAATAACGTTGCATCATATTAATAGCCACAATCCTAAAAAAATTAAAATTTTCATTATGTCTAAATAATACTATACAAGTATACAATATTTTATATAAAAAAAATATATTAGATAAATAATAAAATAAAATATTATGTTTGTTTTATTGTTAAGTGGTAAAAAGTTGATATAATTAGACTTTTAATTGTATGAAATCACTTAACTTGTGTCAATTCTAATATATTTTTCTCCAATATAGGATAAATTTGAGAATACCTTGATACAAGAGTAATGAGCATAATTGGAGCAAAACTGAAAGAAAGAAGAAGATTTTCAGCATGAAACTCGCTTGATCGAATATTAGTTAAAACTATCTGGAAGTCAGTCGCTCAAGCGCCATTCATTTCGCTTGAGCAAAAATTAGTTATTCTTCTCTGGAACTCACTCGCTCAAGCGAGCATTTTGTCGCTTAAGCGAAAATAGGGAACTTTCGCTTGAGCGAGTGTTGTCGCTTGAGCGAAAAACACGAGACCCAATTTTTCCTATAAAAAGATAAGATGTGTTTTGAGAAAAGTAAGCGGTTTTGGGGAGAAGAGACGCGACTACTGCTAGGGTTTCGTCCAATCTTCATCAATTCTTCACTTCCTCCACATTTGAAGCATTTTAATGACCACCATGAGTGGCTAACTTCATTCTCTTGGAATTTGGTGCACTTCCTTTGAACTCTTTTGTATCATGCTGATATTTTGAGATATTAATCTATGTTTTGATGTTGTTATTCTTATCTTTTGTGCTTTAGAATGATTTATTCTTGATGTTTGGGGTATGATTGAAAAATATATCTCGAACCCTATATCACAATAAGAATATTTGTTTCGTTAATTGCTAGAAATGAAATGAATGTATCAATTGCTTAACACCCTAAACCTAATGTTAGAAAATCTCTTAATTGTGTGTGAAATCAACATTTATTAGATTTTCTTATGAATTTCATGTGTGAGAAATCAACATGGATGATTTGAGTAGGTGACATCAATATTGTTAGGTTAATTGATATTCTTAATTGACATAACCATTGCAAAAGAGGGATAAGGAAAGAAGTCAATCCTAAGTGCCTTTAATTGATCTTTTCTAAACAATTTACAGTTCTTTATCGTTTAATTTCAATTCAACTCTTTATGCAAAACCCACTTTGTTTTAATCTACTTAGTAAACATATAATTGAGATTTTCCATTGAAATCATTTCTCGTGGGATCGACTTTTATTTAATCGAAATACTATACTGCGATTGATAATTTTGATATGCTTGCCAATAATTCAACAAGTATTTCTGGCGTCATTGCTGGGGAACGGTGTTCCTTGGGAATTCTTTGTTTTGCTTATTAAGTATTTTATTTTTTATTTGTTTTATAATTTTATTTTGCTTAATTGTTATCTTGTGCTAATCTCTGCTTGAGTTACTCTTTGATTT